CAAGTCACCTAGCCTCCCCACCAACTCCATCTTCTAGCCGGATGGGGCTACTCTGACACTTTCTGATAAGGAAATTCTGTAGTTGTCCATATAGGTGCCCCTTTCACGGGTCCCATCTCTCTCTTTTTGCTTGTGTCATTTCCCCTACCTCAAAAGATCATTCCTCACTCCTCCCTATCTAAACCTGACCTTTCATTGAAGGCTTCATATTTCCGGAAAGACTTTCCCAACCAGCACAGTCCACATTGACACCCCCTTTTCTGAATCCCAGTCGCACTTCCTGTCTTTACCACACAACTGAGCTCTTAATTCAGTTGTAATTATTACACATACAGTGTGCAGGTTTTGGAGTTAGTTAGATAAAACTTGGTTCAAATTTTAGTTCCTTGGAGTGAAGACAAAATTCTGGAACTTGATAATGGTGATAATTGCACAGCATTGTGAATGTGCTTAATACCACGGAATGCTGACGTTTAAATTGGCTAAAACTCTGTTATGTGCATTTTACCACAATTATTTATTTGTTTATTTTTGGAGATGAGGGTCTCCATATGATGTGCAGGCTGGCCTTGAACTACTGGGCTCAAGCAATCCTCCTACCTCAGCCTCTCGAGTAGCTGAGACCACAGATACACACCACAGTGTCAGCTGCTAACACAATTTTTTTTTTTTTTTTTTTTTTTTTAAGACAGAATCTCACTCTGTCGCCCAGGCTGGAGTGCAGTGGCGTGATCTCGGCTCACTACAACTGCCGCCTCCTGGGTTCAAGCCATTCTCCTGCCTCGGCCTCCCCACTAGCTGGGACTACAGGTGCGCGCCACCACTCCCAGCTAATTTTTGTATTTTTAGTAGAGATGGGGTTTCACCATGTTGGCCAGGATGGTCTCAATCTCTTGACCTTGTGATCCGCCTGCCTTGGCCTCCCAGAGTGCTGGGATTACAGGCGTGAGCCACCGCGCCCGGCCTCTTTCCTCCCCTCTCTACTCCCGGCTCCAATATCAGTCCTGGCAGCAGCAGTGAGGGTCCCAGGCCTCGCCGGGGGTGGGATGGAACCCACCTTCTCCAAGGCTCCCCCTGGGTTGCTGGCAGCCCCGTGTGGCAGGGAAGAGGAACTGCCGGAGCGTCCTTCAGGGAGGAGAGGGGCCAGAAGACAGCAACATGGCGCCCCCAGATTTCCCACAGGCCCCCTCCTGTAGACCAGCTGGCCCTTCCCTCAGTGACGACTCAAAGTCAAATTTGAAGGGCTCTCTGGGGACATTCCTCTCCCTGGGTGGCGGTATTTTGGGGAGCGGATGTGAACTTCCCTGAAGGGGAGAGGTGTAAACTCCCAGCATCCTGCTACCACCCCCGCCCCCATCACCCTTCATTTCCCCAAGTGCAGGCTGGGGGCAGAGGAGAGGGAAGGGGATTAGGTGCTCGGGCCGGGGAACCGAGACCCAGGGTGTCACCGCTGACAGCAGCGAGCACGCAGAGCTGCAGGGAGACCGAGCCGCGGCCCCGCGGAGCCGACGCTGCCATCCGGCTAGAAGGCCCCACTCTTTCTTTAACCAGAGGTCACAGTCTCACTGCCTACCCAGGAGGCAGCCCCGAGACGCCCCCTACGGCCTGGGTTTTCTCCACCCTGTCCCCGCGCCCACCCCAGCTCTGCCTTCCCCTGCTGCACTGCTTTGCAAAGAGGACGGCTGGTCAGACTGAATCACTGCGCTGGCCCGTGCTGGGTAGGGCCTGGGGACCGGATCCGGGACTTCCGGAGAGCCCCAGGGTCCCCGCGCGCCCATCCACCCGCGGTTGCCTGAGCATTTATGGTAATGTTTGGGTTGGGGCGAGCGGCCGGATCCCCGCCCCCTGCCTCCGCCGGGCGGGACCTCTAGGCCGGCTCCTGGGGAGCTTAGCGCCGGCGCCTTCCCGCCGCGGCCGGGTCCCCTGGGTGGAGACCCTGGGTGCCGGAGGCCTGAGGTCCGGCAGGTGGGCTGGCCCCCGTGCGGTGGCTCCTAAGGCCGGGAAGTACCAGAAGGACAGTCCCCAGTTGGTCCGAGGAGGGGTCCGCGAGGTTGGGGGTTCCAGTGGGAGGGCTATAATCCCCATCAACCTACCCTAACCACCCACTGCTGCCCACCCAATCCCTGCCTCTGGCTTAAGAGTCCATCATCCCCAGGAAGAGTCCTGATGCATCCACATCCTTTCTCCTTCTCTCCCCCCACTCCCTGGCAGGGAAGGGGCGGAGGGAAGAGGCCAGCAGCTCTCAGGGGAGTCGTCGGAATGCTGGGAGCCTGGGAACAGACCCTGCGGTCCCTGGGAAAGCCAGGCTGTGGGAATCCCACCGTCAGCCCCCTCCCCATGATGGGCCACCGGATGTCAGAGACCCCAGTTCCCCAACAGGGATCTTTGTGAGGGTGGGCCCCGCCCCCCCAGTTCAAGCCCTAGCCTGGCTCGACCCCAGAGTTCAGTAGGCCAGCTGTGACGAAGACAGCCCCTCCCCCGCTCTCCGCCCTCCACCCCCCGCCTGCTCCAACATAATCCTCGCCATTGTGCCCGTTGCCCCCTCCCTCTGCTCCCGCTCTCTAGACCCCTGTACAATGGGGCCTTTGCAGCCTCCAGAATGGAGATGAACTCACGGTTTTTCCAAGTTTAAAAATAGCCCCCCCATCCCCTAGAAGGCCACCCTTCCTCTCTCCCAAGGTGTTGTGTGGTACACCTCCATCCTGGCTGTGCCTCCTTCCTCCTGCCCTGGGTCAGGTGCGAAGGACGTGGGTGAGACAGCATCCGGCGGGAGCAGGGCTGCTTCCCCCGATTCAGTCTCTTCCCCCACATCTCCCACAGGCCCCCCAGTACAGTATCCGGTTTCCTGCCCCCCCCCCCACCCTTTTCCACCCTGTTTTCACTCCTTCAGTACAATCCTCTCCTACTCACACCCACATTCTGGAAAAATTCTCCACCTTCCCCCCGCTCCAAAGACCCAGACCGGATCCTATTATCTGGCCCGGCCAGGAGGTTCCCCAGTCTCCATAACTGCCAAGATTGTTGGGACTCCCCCACCCCATGTTCTCATAGCAGCTGCAAACACCTCTTTATCAGCTTCCTTCCTCAGCCCAGCCCACCCTTCTCACATCCTCACATCCTGGTCAAGGCCCCTGGATCCAGAAGGATGGGTTGGAAGTCATTAAGTTCCCTATGCTGGAGCTGAGAGAGGACACTTGGGTTCCAGTCTTGCCCCTTCCCGGCCTCTGGGGACAGGTCCATCCTTGCCTTTTTACCTCCAACTCCCCAGGGCTCTACTTCTCCTTACAATGAGCTGAAAGCTCCACCCACCCAGGAGACTGTGGCTGAGGAGCCCAACCAGGACCCCCCCCACCCCACCTGGCCTCAATTTCTCCACCTGTGATCAGACCTATACCAGAGACATGCAGAGGGCATTATGCGCAGGAGGGTCCCTCACGTCTGAGGGGCCCAGGTCCACCATGGGGCTGGAGGAAAGCAGCCTTCTTGCCTGCAACCCAAGGAGGGAAAAAAGAATAAGAATTAGGACTCTGCCCCCAGGGCCTCTTCTGGCCCTGGCCTACATCTGAGCCAGGCTCTTCCAACCCAGTCCATGTGCTGGGGCCCTGCAGGGTGGAAGGCCATGGCCTCCTCCTCCAACTCCCTTCTGCTGGCTGTCAATCCTGTCCTGCTGGCAGTCCGGCAGCCACCTTCTCTCTCTTGCTGCTGCTGGAGTGCTAGCCTCCGGCCTCTAAGGGGAGCTGAGGGCTGATCCCCTTCACCTTCCGCTCCCTCCACCCTGCTCCCTGCCTCCATTCCTGAGTCCACTCCGAGGTCCTGACCCCTCTTGCGTTTGGAATCCCAAAGTGCCCACCTCATGAAACCATCCTGAAGCTGTCTGTCCCCTGAGGCTATGACCCACTCCTGAGCAGCCTAGACAGCCCCAGGCTACTGGCTTCCTTAAAGGACAGTCTTCTGTGCTTGTTTGGTGGGGCCATGCAGGGGAAGGGACGTCACCCTGGGCTCTAGGCTCTAACCTCATTTCCCTTTCACTGCAGAAAAGAATCCTCCACCCCCACCTGGCTTCACTCTCCTCCAGCGGAAGAATTCAGAACTGACTGTCCTTGGTGGTTAGCTGGCTTTGTTTTCAGGCCAGAGAGGCGAATGATTAGTTAATGGTGTTAAGTGAAGGAAGGGGGTTGGGCAGGGAAGCCAGCTCCATGCCCAGCCGGGCCTGCCAGGGCAAATGGCATCCTTCAACCATTCCCACTCCAGCCCAGCAGACAAAATTTTCTCATCTATTCAGCTCTGGGCCTGGGGCCAGTCCATAAATTCACTCTGGACGGGGAGCCAGGGTCCTCCTCTTGTTCTCCCTGCAGGCTCCAGGCTCCAGGCTCCAGGCTCCAGGCCCTTGGCCCGGCGGGCCTGGGTTCTGCACGGCCTCTGGCTGGAGACTAATGGCCATGGAGGAGGGGTCGGCAAAGCTCTGAAAGACAAGGCTGGTGTGGTTTGCCAGTCATCTCTGCGTCATCAAAACGCCACCCCGAGCATGCTCTCAAGTCACCTGGCCATCTCTGGAGTTTGCCGGCTCACCCTCCACCTCCCCCAGCCAGCAGAGGGGTGGCCCCGCTGGGCAACACACCTCTACCCAAATCCAGGCCCCTATTTGGCACTCCCTGGTGAAGGCGCACCAGGAGATGTGGACCCCTTTTCTGAGGCCAGGCTGCTGGGGTCACAGTGAGGCAAGAGCCCCTCCCCCTCCCTAGAGCCTTAGTTCAAGAGGCCAGAAGACCCAGGGAGAAGTCTTTTTGGGAGAAGGGTAGCTGCAGAGCTCCCCACCCAAGCAGGGCTGATTTGACTCTTCCCTCAGCTGTGGACCCACCATCAACAGGGCTGGGGAAGAGGGCGTGGGGGTCAGTGCTGCCGGGATCCTTTCAATTATCAGGAACAGCAACAGGTTTGCAGGGTCAGGCTGGGGACCCTTCACCCATTAACTCTTTCTTCTCCCTGTTTCTTTCTCTTAGGTGAGGGGAAACTGAGTCCCAGGGTAGGCTCCAGAGTGAAGAGGGAAGAAACATGATTCTCAAGGCCCAGGTCTGGACAAGTGTGAACACCTTGGGCCTGCGAATTCAGCCCTCCTTCCTTTCTCTGGTCAAAGGCTAGACTTGCAGCAGCTTGGGTTTGAAGGGACAGCCCAGAAGGCACCCTCTCCACTCCCCATACAGGTACTTCTGGTCTGTGGGACTGGCACAGGGTTCTTCTCCCAAAGCTGCCAGCACTGTGAGGCTGAGGCAGTGCCAGGCCGGCGGCAGCGACAGTGGTGCAATCGTTCTGGGAAGCGATCGAGGCCGGCCTGAATTCTCTGTGGCAGGGGAGGGGAGCCAATCGGGAGGCCCCTTGGGGACACCGAGGACCAGGTCCGCTACTGCTCCTCCCCCAGGAGGTCCCCCAGATGCTACATTGGCTGGCAGGGGCTCAACAGGGGTGAGCCTGGCTGGCTTCGACCCGGGGCGACTCCGGGCATCCGGGACAGCTTCTCCTCGCTGCCACCTCGGTCAGTCAGACCCCTAGACACCTGTCACTACCCCCTCAGCCTTCCCAAGCCAGGAGCCTGGGAGTCCGGCTCCGGCCTACCTCCGGCTGCGCTCCTGGGCGCAGCTCCCGGGCTGGCGGCGCCGGGGCCCGCCCCCTAGGGCTGCGGCGCGCGGGGCGGGGGCTGGGGGCTGCGCGGGGCGGGGCGGGCCCGAGCGCTCCGGGCCCCCTCCCCCGCCCCCCTGACGTCAGCCCCCGGCAGCCTTGAGCTGCTCACTTGGCTCTCGCCCTCCGGCGGGGAAGCATGGGGCTTCCCAGGCTGGTCTGCGCCTTCTTGCTCGCCGCCTGCTGCTGCTGTCCTCGCGTCGCGGGTGAGTGAGTTCGCAGGGGGGCCGCGCCCCGGCTAGGGGTCTACGGTGGAGCGTGCCAGCGAGCAGAGCCAGCGGCGCGGCAGGGTCAGGGCGTTGCGTCCGGGAGGACGCGCCTCCTCCCCGGGTCCCCGACCGCCGGGCGCCTTGCTCACGAGCAACTCTTCTTTGCAGCCAGTTTGCAGCGGGGATTCTAGAGTATCCCGGGAGCAGCACTGGGAAGGCGGGGAGGAGGCTGCTTCTGGGAGCGAGAAGGGGTGGAGCCCAGCCTTTCGGGGTGCTGGGGGGACTCGTCCCTGAGGTGCTCACTCTGGAGGCCCGCAACTGAAGCTGGGCAGGAGGCGCAGCTGGGGCGCATCCTCAAAGCCTGAATTCCGCGCCCGCCTGTTGCTGGAAAAGGCAGCTTCCTTCGCTGGAGGGGGTGCGCCGGCCTACCCCTTCCCCCTCCCGCCTGGGCATCGCGCCAGGCTGGAGGTGAGCGAGAGCGGGAGGTTCGGCGGCTCCCGCCCGAGCTGGGCGTTGGCATGGGTTGCGGGGCGGTGTGGGTCGCCTCGCGCCTCCCCAAGTGATGGGATCATAGGGGACAGAGTTGAGGGATGGAGGATTCCCATACTGGAAGCGCCCGCTGGCTTATTTTGGGGACCACATTCAGGTGGGAAGAGCGCCCGGGCACCTTGGAGCGTTTCTCTGGATCCGCCAGGTAGCCGGGCGCTCTCGGGTCCACGCTGCCCTTGTATGGCCCGCAGCTGTGTCGCGTGTTTCTCTTAGCTCCCGTTCCGCCGTCTCAGCCGCTGTCCGGCTGGGGAAGGGGAGGGCTAGGCAATACCCAGCTCGCTGGCCTCATGCCCAGTGCCAGCCATGTCCCTGGGGTATTCCAGGCTACTGCCTCCCAGGCTGACTTTATTTCTGGGGAAAGGGCTGAATCGAGCTCCACAGTTGCAGCCGGTCCAGCTCCACCCTGCCCTGCTCTTCTAGCTCTGGGAGGAGGAGTCAGGGGTCTGAGGCTCCGGGTTGGAGACCCCTCCTTCCACCTGCCCTCCTTGTCCGAGAGCCAAGGCAACAACCCAGGCATCCCAGAGCCCAGGCAGATGGTGTCGAGTGACATCACCTCCTCACAGGGCTGGCAGCACGCTGGCACCACTGACGTCACTCCTGCCCACTGCCTGGCCCTTGCCCTGACCCCTGGAGGAGACTCTGACCTCTCCATCCTTACCAGCTTCCCCGGGTGGGGTCCCGGGTGTGTGCGGAGTGTTTATGGAGGTGCTGCTGAGGGAGCATGAGACGGGAACTTACGCCAGAGTTAGCCCGCTGGGTCTTGTGGGGAGTTAGGGCAGGGATTTTGGAGGGCAGAGGGTAGAGTAGTGGTGTCTTCCCCTGGCGGTGGTGACACAAAAGGGCCTGTGTGCCCCTGCCTGGCACATGCCTTGCATTCCCACACTCTGAGCTCGCCCGGAGAGGAGGGGCCTGGAAGGAAAGGGGCCTTCCTCTTGGGCCGGAGCCTGGGTTGCCCCTCTCAGCCCCTCTACCAGCCTCAGCTGGAGCTGCTCGGTGCTCAGTCTCCGCTCAATCTCTGCTCAGCTCCAGGGACCTGGGGTCTCCTGGACGGGGAGAGGGCTGGCCCAGGTGGGGCGCGGGTCGGGGGGTCCAGCGTTCAGAGGACAGGGCCCTCTGCAGACGCTCTGAGTGGCAGGAAAAACAGCTGCAGCAGCGCTGCGAGGGGAGGGGCGGACAGCCGCTGGAGCTGACACAGCTGCGGGGGCCCCGCCTCCCTCCCCCAGGTGTGCCCGGAGAGGCTGAGCAGCCTGCGCCTGAGCTGGTGGAGGTGGAAGTGGGCAGCACAGCCCTTCTGAAGTGCGGCCTCTCCCAGTCCCAAGGCAACCTCAGCCATGTCGACTGGTTTTCTGTGAGTGCTTGGGCTCCTGCAAAGCGCAGCCCAGGGTGGGAGGCTCTGCCCCTCTTGTAGCCCAGGACCCTCTCCTCCTCTGTATCCCCTCCCATTAGGTCCACAAGGAGAAGCGGATACCCATCTTCCGTGTGCGCCAGGGCCAGGGCCAGAGTGAACCTGGGGAGTACCAGCACCGGCTCAGCCTCCAGGACAGAGGGGCTACTCTGGCCCTGACTCAAGTCACCCCCCACGACGAGCGCATCTTCTTGTGCCAGGGCAAGCGCCCTCGGTCCCAGGAGCACCGCATCCAACTCCGCGTCTACAGTGCGTGACCCCATGTCTGCCAGCTGGGTAGTGAGGGCGGCGGGGCGTGGTCCCATGTCCCCCTCATTTCTATTTTCTTGTAGAAGCTCCAGAGGAGCCAAACATCCAGGTCAACGCCCTGGGCATCCCTGTGGACAGTAAGGAGCCTGAGGAGGTGAGCTGTGTGGCAGACGGGCTGGGCAGCTGGTGCGCAGCAGCTGAGATGGGGCTTGCAGAGGGCTGGGAGGCAGCGAGACTTACACCCTGTGCTCCTTAGGTCGCGACCTGTGTAGGGAGGAACGGGTACCCCATTCCTCAAGTCATCTGGTACAAGAATGGCCGGCCTCTGAAGGAGGAGAAGAACCGTGAGTAGCCCTTTCTGCTCCCAAAAGCCACCCTTGGGCCAGGTGTGGTGGCTCACACCTGTAATCTCAGTGCTGTGGGAGGCCTCTGGAGGCCAAGAGTTCAAGACCACCTTGGACAACATAGGATGACCCCGTCTCCACAGAAAATTAAAAAATTAGCCAGACATGGTGGTGTGTGCCTGTGGTCCCAGCTACTTGGGAGGCTGAGGCAGGAGAATCATATGAGCCCAGGAAATGGAGGCTGCAGTGAGCTAGGATTGTGCCACCTCCAGCCTGGGTGACAGAGCGAGACCCCATCTCTTAAAAAGAGTTGTGCCTATGGTACTACACAGGAACTTGCCTTATGTTTTCTTTAAGCTTTTTAACTAAAAAAAATTATACAAATGGTGCTTGAAAATATTTTCATGAGAATTTAAACTGACAGAAAATCTAGAAGTTTCTTCTTGCCTGAGACCCCCCTCCCAGAAATAATATCTGCTATCAATCATGGTGTGTTCTTTCAAGCCTATTTCTATGTATTTGCTCATATATAGAAACATTTCTAGAACGATATAGGCTTTTGTTTTTTATTATCTAAGTCAGTCATTCTTAACCAGGGGTGATTTTGTACCCCCTCTTCCTAGGAGATATTTGGCAATGTCTGGAGATATTTTTAGTTGTCACACTTAGAGGGGGTGCTACTGCCATCTAGTAGGTAGAGAGGCCAAGGATGTCGCTAACATCCTACAGTGCACAGAACAGCCCCTACAATAAAGAATCAATGTGGCCTAAAACATCAGTAGTGCTGGCTGGGCTCACGCCTATAACCCCAGCACTTTGGGAGGCCGAGATGGGCAGATCACCTGAGGTCGGGAGTTCAAGACCAGCCTGACCAACATGGAGAAACCCCATCTCTACTGAAAATACAAAATTAGCCGGGCGTGGTGGTGCATGCCTGCAATCCCAGCTACTCAGGAGGCTGAGGCAGGAGAATCACTTGAACTCAGGAGGTAGGTGGAGGTTGCGGTGAGCCGAGATTGCACCATTGCACTCCAGCCTGGGCAACAAGAGCGAAACTCCCTCTCAAAACAAACAAACAAACAAAAAAATTATCAGTAGTGCTGAGAAAGCCTGATCTAAGTGGTGTTGTATGGTATACCTTGTTAGACAATTTCTTTTGTACGATCTTTCTGGGTCAGTCTATTTAGATCAGCTGATGGTTTTGCTTACTGCCGAGTTTTCCATACTATGCATATCATGTAGTCGAGTTCACCATTCCCCAGTTAGTGGACATCTAGGCAGCTGCTCGTTTTTATCATTGCAGCATTCTTTGCACATATCCTTGGATATGAGCATGAGCAGACCTGTAAATGTTTTTCTAGGGTTGACCCTGAGCAGTAAAAGTGCTGGGTTGAAGGGTTTCCAGCTTGCATTTGTACCTGGCCCTCTACAGGGGACACAGGACTCTTTAGATGGACCCCTACGAACCCCGGTGGACAACCCTAGGGTGGGGTTGGAGGTGGGACTGAGGCTGAGTCTTCCTTCCCTTCCTCCCTGCCCAGGGGTCCACATTCAGTCGTCCCAGACTGTGGAGTCGAGTGGTTTGTACACCTTGCAGAGTATTCTGAAGGCTCAGCTGGTTAAAGAAGACAAAGATGCCCAGTTTTACTGTGAGCTCAACTACCGGCTGCCCAGTGGGAACCACATGAAGGAGTCCAGGGAAGTGACTGTCCCTGTTTTCTGTGAGTGCTAACTTGACTCTCTGCTCACTGGGGCTGGGGCTGCTGGAAACTCCTGCTAGCCCCTCCCTATCCAGCCCAGGGTTGACTCATGGGCCAAGAGCTACCCCCTTTGCCTATGCAGACCCGACAGAAAAAGTGTGGTTGGAAGTGGAGCCCGTGGGAATGCTGAAGGAAGGGGACCGCGTGGAAATCAGGTGTTTGGCTGATGGCAACCCTCCACCGCACTTCAGCATCAGCAAGCAGGTGTGGGGGCTTTGTGCTGCGTGCAGATGGGGGTGCAAGCAGCGACCCGGGGGGAGTGGCGGGAGGGGCACTCTGCTCACCTCTCCAGTCTTCCCCAGAACCCCAGCACCAGGGAGGCAGAAGAAGAGACAACCAATGACAACGGGGTCCTGGTGCTAGAGCCCGCCCAGAAGGAACACAGTGGGCTCTATGAATGTCAGGGCCTGGACTTGGACACCATGATATCGCTGCCGAGTGAACCACAGGAACTACTGGTGAACTGTGAGGAGCTGGGGACCCAGGACAGGGGGAGCAGACTGGGGTAATAGGGAACTGGCCCTGCCCTGCCCTGGGTGACATGATTGCTGTCCCCCCAGATGTGTCTGACGTCCGAGTGAGTCCCGCAGCCCCTGAGAGGCAGGAAGGCGGCAGCCTCACCCTGACTTGTGAGGCAGAGAGCAGCCAGGACCTCGAGTTCCAGTGGCTGAGAGAAGAGGTACCAGGCGGGTCTGGGGAGCAAGGGGCTGATGGGTGAGTGGGGCTGGGGGTGACAAGAGTGTGCTCTTCCCCAGACCCTCTGACCCATCTCTCATCCCAGACAGGCCAGGTGCTGGAAAGGGGGCCTGTGCTCCAGTTGCATGACCTGAAACGCGAGGCAGGAGGCGGCTACCGCTGTGTGGCCTCTGTGCCCAGCATACCCGGCCTGAACCGCACACAGCTGGTCAATGTGGCCGTTTTTGGTGAGGCCCTCCCTCTGGGTAGAGACCAGGTCACCCCAAGTGGGGTGGTTTTTAAGCTCTTGACAAAAAGCCACCTGCTGCTCTGGGGAGCTCTGGTGCGGAGGGGGAGGCGGGCTAGCTGGGCTTGCCGCCTCACCCCTCCCTACCTCCCCAAGGTCCCCCTTGGATGGCATTCAAGGAGAGGAAGGTGTGGGTGAAAGAGAATATGATGTTGAATCTGTCTTGTGAAGCGTCAGGGCACCCCCGGCCCACCATCTCCTGGAACGTCAACGGCACGGTGAGCAGGTGTCTCATCTGCCACGCTCTCCTAATCCCGGCCTGGGCTTTGCGGCTGGGCCCAGAGATCCTCCCCATCCCCTGAGCTGCCTCCTTCCTTTCCTTGCAGGCAAGTGAACAAGACCAAGATCCACAGCGAGTCCTGAGCACCCTGAATGTCCTCGTGACCCCAGAGCTGTTGGAGACAGGTGTTGAATGCACGGCCTCCAACGACCTGGGCAAAAACACCAGCGTCCTTTTCCTGGAGCTGGGTGAGGGCTGCATCCCTGCAGGGGATGGCAGGGGCAGGCCCAGGCACGGGCAGTAACTTGCGCTTCTCCTAACACCCCTCCCTCTGCCTCCTAGTCAATTTAACCACCCTCACACCCGATTCCAACACAACCACTGGCCTCAGCACTTCCACTGCCAGTCCTCATACCAGAGCCAACAGCACCTCTACAGGTAAGCCAGGCCTGGCAAGAGAACAGGGCTGTGCCAGGGCATCCTTTCTGCCCTGTCCCTCCCCAGAGAGCCCTGTCCAGAAAGGTGAGTAGCAGCCCCATCTTGTCGGCCTTGGACTGGCTGGGGCAGCAATGGCGACGAGGTGGCCTGGAGCAGGGAGTGACGAGGAGTGTCTTTGTGGCACAGAGAGAAAGCTGCCAGAGCCGGAGAGCCAGGGCGTGGTCATCGTGGCTGTGATTGTGTGCATCCTGGTCCTGGCAGTGCTGGGTGCTGTCCTCTATTTCCTCTATAAGAAGGGCAAGCTGCCGTGCGGGCGCTCAGGCAAGCAGGAGATGTAAGCCCAACACTGGCCCCTCCACCCCCGCCCATCTTGCCGCCCAGCCTGCCGCCTGCCCAGCGCCCGCCTGCCCCTCGAGAGCAGAAGTGGGGCCCTGGGCCAGGGTGCTCCCTGCTCCACTGCCCACTGCCCAGCTTCCATCAGCCACATGGTCTCATGACCTGCTTCCCTGCCCTGGGCTGGCCCTGGAGCAAGGAGCCCTCAACCATCCCACATCCTTCACAGCGGGCCCTTCCCTTCCTGCGGCCCTGAGGTGCCAACCTCTCGCCTCCCTCCCTCCTCCCAGCACGCTGCCCCCGTCTCGTAAGAGTGAATTTGTAGTTGAAGTTAAGTCAGATAAGCTCCCAGAAGAGATGGGCCTCCTGCAGGGCAGCAGCGGTGACAAGAGGGCTCCAGGAGACCAGGTAGGAGGCGGTTCCTGTGGCCAGGGCCTGCCACATCCTCAGGGACCGGGGGCAGCAGGGGCTAACGGTTCTAACTCTCTATCCTTCACCCCTCTTTGTCGGAGATAGGGAGCAGGCCCCATCTTGCCTTCTTAACACCACTCACAGATGGCAGGGCCAGGCAAGTGGCTGAGGGAGCTTGGAGGAAGACTGAGAAACACCCTGTCCTGACCAATGCCCATGACTCTGGGTGTGGCCATTTCACCAGTGCAGTCAAACAGGGACCGCCCGCCTTCCCTGGCCTGCCATGCCCGTCCTTGCTTCCTCCCCAAGGCTGCCGCACCAAGTTCATCGGCTTCTGCTTCCATCTCTCCTTCCTCTCGGTGCTCACACCTTCAACTCTGAGCACCGTCTCCGTGTTTCCCTCTTCTCCTCTTCCCACTTTTAGGGAGAGAAATACATCGATCTGAGGCATTAGCCCCGAATCACTTCAGTTCCCTTCCCTGCCTGGACCATTCCCAGCTCCCTGTTCACTCTTCTCTCAGCCAAAGCCTCCAAAGGGACTAGAGAGAAGCCTCCTGCTCCACTCGCCTGCACACCCCCTTTCAGAGGGCCACTGGGTTAGGACCAGAGCTGTCCTGAGAACCTCACTTGGCCCTAGAAGGCCCGCTTTTCAGGGACCAGTCCGCCACGATCTCCACATTGAGTGACGCTCATCCCAAGCAAGGAGCCCCCGCCTCCCGAGCGGGTAGGAGAGTTTCTTGCGGAACGTGTTTTTTCTTTACACACATTATGGCTGTAAATACCTGGCTCCTGCCAGCAGCTGAGCTGGGCAGCCTCGCTGAGCTGGTTTCCTGCCCCAAAGGATGGCTTCCATCATCCAAGGACGCACTGGAGCCAGGCACCTGCTCATGTAAGTGCGCTGTTCACACCGGCTCTGGAGAGCACCCCAGCAGCATCCAGAAGCAGCTGCAGTGTTGCCACCACCACCCTCCTGTCTGCCTCTTCCAAGTCTCCTGTGACATTTTTTTCTTTGGGCAGAAGCCAGGAACTGGTGTCATTCCTTAAAAGATACGTGCCAGGGCCGGGCGCGGTGGCTCACGCCTGTAATCCCAGCACTTTGGGAGGCCAAGGCAGGTGGATCACAAGGTCGGGAGATTGAGACCATCCTGGCTAACACGGTGAAACCCCGTCTCTACTAAAAATACAAAAAAAATTAGCCAGGCATAGTGGTCGGCGCCTGTAGTCCCAGCTAGTCGGGAGGCTGAGGCAGGAGAATGGCGTGAACCCAGGAGGCGGAGCTTGCAGTGAGCTGAGATCGTGTCACTGCACCCCAGCCTGGGCGACAGAGTGAGACTCCGTCTCAAAAAAAACCAAAAAGATACGTGCCTGCAGTGAGGAAGCTGGGCACTGTTTTTGAGTTCAAGTGAATTAGCCTCAACCGCCCGTGTTCACTTGGCTCCCACGGCTGTCTTGATGGATCACGTGAGTGAAAGGCAGGGGAAGCGGACAAAGATGAGGTCTACACTGTCTTTCACGGGGATTAAAGCTATGGTTATATTAGCACCAAACTTCTACAAACCAAGCTCAGGAGCCCCAACCTAGAAGGGCCCAAATGAGAGAATGGTACTTAGGGATGAAAAACAGGGGCCTGGCTAGAGCTTTGGGTGTGTGTCTGTGTGTATGCATACATATGTGTGTATATATGCTTTTTGTCAGGTGTGTAAGTTTGCAAACTGTTTCCTTTATATATGTATATATATGAAAAATAAAGCTTAATTGTCCCAGAAGTCTTACATCGCTTTTTATTCATCATGGGTACCATAGGAACCTGGGGGCCTCTGAAACTACAACCAAAAGCACACAAAACCGTTTCCAGTTGGCAGCAGAGATCAGGGGTTACCTCTGCTTCTGAGCAAATGGCTCAAGTTCTACCACACAGCGGACAGTCACTCTACTTTTCAGCAGCCAAACTGCCCTGATGACGCAGCATGAAGGGCCTGGCAGGCTGTTAGCAGGAGCTGTGTCCCCTTCCTATGCTTTCCTGCCATTTGGAACTGAAGCAGCTCAGGCTCACCGCCATGAGGAAGGGGGCCTTGGCATTTGGTCCTACGGCAACTCGACTATTACCTCCCAACCCCCTGAATGAGCAAGAACTCAAGTCCGCTACAACAAAAGAAACTTTATTTAAAAATATTTTTTTTACAGACATGGGTGCTTGAAAAAGCTCTTTAGTTAACTGTGTATGGAAATGAAAAAAATTAATAAATAACATTAGTATAACAGACTTCTAAACATTAATACACTGGCAAAATAAAATGGACTTAAAATGAATCTTAAAGCTCTGCTATTCTCTGTAAGAATATTTACCTTCTGTTTTTCTTATTCTTTACAGGTGAGAATGATTAAATACTGCTAATATAAATTTTTTTATATTAATGACACATTTTTAAAATAGTCCACGAAAATCTTATCTATGTGTTTGTTTTCTTCTTAACACTGATATACAAATTGGGACTCTTCATTCTGGAGAAAGCATCAGGTTCTCTCCAGCACCCCCAGGCTAAGAATTTCAAAATCTTGAATAAGGAGGACTTTAAAATTTCTATCTCCCAATTCTTTATTCGTTAAAGGCAAGGGAAAACTGAGGAAAGGGTAAGAGATAAGTAAAATGTCATTATATAGAAAAACTTTTGCTAAAGCTCACTATAGTCACATTACTGAGGACAGGCTTCTGGTCCGTGTTCCTTGCTGCCCTTCCCTGGGGAAACCAGGCCCTGTAGAGGGCACTAGCTGCTTAATGCTTTAAGTCTGAAGCCTTCAAATGAAAGGCCAGCCACATCTGATGGGGGCGGGTGGTGGGGACAGGAGGTCTAGACCAGTTCAGGATCCAGCAAAAAGAAAAGACAAAACCACCAACCTCCCCTTCTCAGGAGAGTCCATCCTACACTCCTCCACACAACTGGGCAATTAATGTCATCAGGAGGCTAGGACACTTGGAATGGTCCAGAGTTCACCTGGGAATTGTGGAACGTTCTGTCTCTTGCAGAAGACAAGGCATGCAACCTGATAACTAAGCTTGTGATTGGAACCAACCAAATGATCCCAGGGTACAATGCTGCTCTCCTCCACTGAAGTCTCACGGCAGGGGAAAGGGACTCCGGACACACTGCACCTGCCTGTCACCTCTCCAGTCACAGAGAGCATTCTTTCCTGTCTCCTAGACACTAAGGACTAATGAAACTCAAGGTAGAGGAGCTCAGACTCTGGTATTTCCATATTAAGTCCTAAAATGCAGCCTGGGATACAGTGCTGCCTTAGAAAGGCACAAAATATTTGGCTTTTTTTTTTTTTTTTTTTCAGTGTGCTAAAAATTGTTTTGTTTTGAGTAAAGGAAAAAGATATATAAGGTTAAAAATCCCAAGTCACTACAGCCAGAAAACAGATGTAGGAGGTGCCTCATAGCTGCCATGCCACTACCACATGTTTCAGCAGGAAGTCAGGCTCTTCTTTCAAGGCCAAGACACTAGAACAGTGCTGAGCAGGGTAGGTCAGGAGGCATTTACTCTCGTGGGCATTGCGTTGCAGGCTCACCCAGACAGCAGGAGAAAAGAGGCCATGGAAGACACGTGGTCTACAGACTCCTAAGTAGTTCTCCGCCTCTCCAGTTTTAAGACGGCCATAAGCATGGCTACCCTCACCCACAACAAGGTCAGAGGTAGGTAGAGAGGAGGGAGCTGACACACAGGCAACCAGGACACCCTGTTTCAGGGCTCAGCATGAAGGTGGCGCAAGGCCTGAGGAGTTGCACGTAGCATGCATTGAGCAATACTCCTCTCTGGCCGCCTGTCTGATGTGAGGGTAGAAGGAGAATGTAGGAGAGGCAATGCTGGGGGGGCCGGGAGAGGCCTGACATTCATTTTTGGAACTGAATCAGGCAATCAGGACTCTGCTGATTTCTTCAGCTGCCAAATCAGGAGATCTGAGGTTGGCTTTTGGGCTCTGCTCTATACAAACACAGGCAGTGGTTGGCTGCATTTTTCTCAAGCTCTGTACCCAGGAAGGGGCGGCAAGAGCGCCACACGGCTTAGTCTGTCAACAGCCAGCCCTTCCACCTGTGCTCCCCACCGGACTCACCACGGACGTGCAGGGCTTGCTCTCCCCATCCCTACTTCCCCATCTCTTACTCTTTTGCTACTTTTCAGAACCAAGAAACACTGGTATTTCCCACGGGAACCAACCCAGATTTCCTGGGACACGGTGAAGGCACATGGCACTGCTGTCCCTCTGCTGCTTAACCCAGGAGCCTAGACTACAACATCAAATGCAAAGTCTGATGACCCATCCTTCCTCCCTTGATGGACATCTTTGGATTATCAGGTAACTTCTGTGTGTATCAAATGACTCTAGTAGTTTAATAAACCTTTAAGTAAGGCAGTATGAAGTACCTTACAACTCAGGACAAAAGATTCAGGCAAGCAAAAGCATAGTTAAACAAAAAAAAAGAAAAGGAAAGCTTTTATATAGGACTAAAATGAAAGCAATTGCCAGAGAAGACACAGGTATACTGTCTAAAGAGCTCTCAGTAAAAACTCTATCCTAAACCGGAATCTATATTTAATTTCTATCCTGGCAACTGCTCCAATATTATATATTCTTACTGGCTCTGGAAAGTAGTTTCTGAGGTGCCTAGGAAGGCTTGCCTGAGAACAGTACTGCAGAGCGGCCCTCACACAGGAAGGAGCGAGAGGGTAAGGAGGAGAGTGGAGGAGATAGGCCACAAGCCCAGAGAATGAACATTTCCAAGCACTCAAACCTGAAGAGGACCCAGAAGTCCATGGATAGTGGCTACAGTGGCACCCGTTATTAGATTCTGCTTTCTAAATAACACGGAAGAAGGCAAAAGACCTGAGGCTGAATGGAGGCTAAGGAAGGCTACCCAGGAACAGGCTAGCTCTGGAACAGGACAGGCTGGCCCACAAGAGGGAGGTAAGAAATCTTGGATGCCAAGACTGACAAAGGGAAGAAAAACAGGAAATAAAGATGACAATGACCAGAATTAAGTTAAACCTAAGAATTTCTATGATGTCCCAGAAAAACTCCCATGCCTTCCTTTCCACTAGCAAAAAGGCGGGAGTAGAGGCTTTACTCCTTGAGTAGAAGCCTTTTTAGGGCGTCTGTGGAGTCTCTGCTCACTTCTCTGAGAAGCTCCCTGTCTCCAGCTGAAGGAGTCTGCCACATCTCTGCTCTCCCTGGCAAGGCCAACTGCTCAAGGATAGATACTTGATCAATGTGCCAGGCTGAGTGTAGTTTTTCTTAAGAATATGAAGTATTGGCCGAGAGCGGTGGTTCACGCCTGTCATCTCAGCACTCTGGGAGGCCAAGGCAGATGGATCATGAGGTCAGGAGTTCAAGACCAGCCCAGTCAAGATGGTGAAACCCCATCTCTACTAAAAATATGAAAATTAGCCAGGCATGGTGGCAGGCACCTGTAATCCCAGCTACTTGGGAGGTTGAGGCAGAAAACTGCTTGAACTTGGGAGGTGGAGGAGGTTGCAGTGAGTTGAGACTGCACCACTGCACTCCAGCCTAGGTGACACAGCAAGACTCCTTCTCAAAAAAAAGAAAAAAAAAAAAGTAGTATGGGAAATTGAGAATTTGTTCATGGTGATCCGCAGAGTTGGAAGGTGGTGTGGACTTGAGGACTGGAGTGCCTATTTGGGGGTCACGCATACCATAACCAGACAGGGAAGCGGGAGAAAGGACTAGGTGCAAAGCTCTGCAGTTCCAGCTCCACCCGAGAACCAAAGGCACTTCCCATCCTGGGTTCTGCGAAATACCCTGCATCCTTACCATGAGTCCCTCCTTTCTTCCGCTTGAACATTTCTGTTTCTTGTATCCAAAGGATCCCTAAGCAGTCAAAAATACAACCTTGACCGTCCTTCACTATCCACCACCCTCTAGGCATTAAGCAGTTCTACGTATTTCTAACAAAAGACTGCTCATGGAGACTGAGTTCAAGAGAGTGACAGTAATAGTATATGCTGAGTTAGAGTACTTTAGATTGAGCTTCTAAAGCTCTAAGGTCTGGCAGAATGATGTGTGGACACTAAGCTTTAGAATCCCTAAACTCCTTGCTCTGAGAAGGAGGTAAAGGCTGACAATTAGGGGACTGATGGAGTTCAATCTGTATTAATGTCTGGCTCTTGGAAGACCAAACTGACTCAAGGATCTTTGGGTCCTGAGACCCAAAGATAGCGCCCACACCTCCAGCCCTTCTAAAACATAGAGTTAGCTGCAAAGGTTGTTGAAAGACTGGAAAACCAATTCCAAATAGTACAGGACATGGTGACAGGTCCCAGAAGGGTGACATGAAAATCCTCCCAACAAGGGAGATTAGGGACATAGCAGCTCAGGAAAAAGTTCAAGGAAGGCACTAGATTGGAAAGGGCAGTGCGGACAGATGCTTTGCTTAAACATTTAACGCCCTACTGTGCAACTCTGAGCCAACTTACCTTTCAACTTGCCAAACAGATTCTAATTATGTTGGAACAAATTCCAACATAAAAACAGTCGCTATCCATGAGACTTACATCAAGGAATCTCCCAGGCATTATCAAAGCTATAGGAGACAACAAGGGATAATGGGAGAATCTTGCCCTGCTATTAATCAGGACAGCTCTATAAGGAAAGGTAAGTCTACATGAAAGAGCTGTGAATAAAAATTGCACAATCTTACTGGGAAGAGCTATTTTAAGGTCAAATGCAGAGGCTATGACAGTCCAAGTACAATCCCTCAAACATCAGTAAACTACTATGTGGTACCAAGAGAAGGACAAATGCCTGACATTTCTGGCACATGGTCATCACTCAAACATTTGCTGGATGAACAAACTGTTACAGCCAGGCCAATAGTCAGAAAACTATTTTTCAACGAACAGTGGTCATTCCAGAGTCAGAAAGGCCAATGGCAAGAAGAGGGACTTATAGTTTGAGAAGGCCTATAATCTTCTGATTTTCAAGATGTGAGGTAGGAGAATATTCTGCTTTATCACCATTGCTGAACACCTACAAAAAGAACTAGATCTTAAAGGGAATATATAGGTGGTCCCTAGTTTTTACAAGGAAGTTTTGTTATAAAAATTTGTGACTTGACTGTTTAGGACCATAAACACATTTTACTTTTCTATAAACACATATTTTAAGAGTAATGAACAGTGACCCCCACCCACCTCCCTTAACCAGAAATCTTTTAAATCTACAAGATAGCTAAATAATACTAACAGTACTATCCCACATCTTGGGCCCCGGTAATGAGGGTCTGTAGAATGGCAGATTATGGAGACTGGGGCTGGGGGGAGGACAAGTGGAAGAGAGCGGCCACCCACAGGTACAGAGCACTATTCACAAAAATATTAACAGGTAAATGCTGAGATGAGAAGCTGCCTGGCATATGAACTAAAGGGAGGTATATTAAGAGCCCATAGGTTTTTCCATTTAAAGAACCCTCTACTTTAGTGGAAGGAACATGGGGGCAGCTGCAAAGGTCCAGTTGTGGTTGCTGCAGACCAGTAACCCAGCAACAAGGCAGCTTGGAAAGCAACCCGTGAAGACACAGGGAAAGCATGAAACTGGGCTGAATACAACAGCCCAATGAATACGAGAAAAAGGAGAACAAAGTGTTGTGGGTTTTTTCACTTTATCAGCCACTAGGAAGGGACAAGGGGAAGAGCTTGCCAAAAATGGCAAAACTCGAAGTCTGTTCGTAAAAGGCAGTTTTAATTAAATTCAGAGCAAAGCCAAAGAAATTTACATTTCCATACAAATGGAGGGTGAAGAATGGGTTACTGGTGCCTTAGTCAACAGAAAATATAAGAAATTAAGCTTTTGACAATAATCTCAAAACAAAAGCCACATGAAAACTTTCCTTAATCTTACCTGGCAATCTCAGGCACAGACCCAGGTGTGTCCTTAGAGCACCCAGTCAAAGGAAAGATCCTCACGAAATGATCCAAAACCTTGAATGCTGGCAGATACCTGTGACCAACTAACACCCCAGCCCATCGATGGGACACAGGCACAACACACGGAGCTGGAGCCTCAGTTTCACGCTGATTCAAAGAGCCACACAGGACTCAAAAAAGGAAAAGTCGAGACTGCCCTGAGCCTACACAGTAGGGACAATAATTTCCAGAGAAGATTTAGATGCATGGAAAAGGCAAAAGATACATAGCCAGTGCTTTGTCTTCTGAAGCGATCTTTAGACTATGGGCAGTATCTGCAGATAAAGAAAAATCACAATATGGACGGGCCTGGAATCTGCTGCCGTTTTTTTTCTAGTTATTTGTCTAGGCCTTCAATATTTAAACAAAATGCAAAACTGAACGTTACCTCAAAATGAAACAGTATACATACTGGCTGTTAGAAGTTGATGGCAGTCTACTGTTCGATATTCACTGCCATTTTCCTCTGCCCCACTCCACCTCAATTCAGGACCACCTCACCTAATGGTGGGTTGTGCCGCTTTATGCCATGTAGAGAAGATACTGGGTAGCCACAGCAAATCAACACAAGGTCCTGTACTGCCTACTCTGGGAACATAAATGGCTCTGAGGCCAGAGGATAAAACCAAAAGATTCAGGAGTAGCTGAATGCCAAGAGACGAGTTAGAACAAGTTTTAGTTCCAAAGATGGTAAGACTAGAAAAAAGACTCATCCAAGGAGGGTCATTTCTGTCTAGATCTAAAGACAAAAGCATGATTTAGATTTTCAGGAAGACATATTTATCAAAGAGCAGGCTTGCTTCTGACGTGGAGAAAGGTTACACACTGCTAAGAAAGTCAGCAAAACACTCTGGACAGAATACTAACTGAACTCGAGGGATCATTTATCAGCATATAAAGGAACTGACTAATGGTTCTCCAAACTGGACTCTCAATCTTCTTTATGAACCTGCGATTACACAAACTGCCAGCCCATATTGTCTTTGACTACAGTAATTTATTCACTGAATGATGTCTAATTACTGTGAAGAATACAGTAATTACAGAGAGTACTGAGGACCTCAGGTGAAGAGGAAAAGGGAAGGAAAGGAGGAAAGAGATGTTACATTCCCAAAGCCACAGGCACAAGAAAGAAACGACATCATCGGGAGGCAGCAATGCAGGGAAGGTGCTATCTGCAAGAGGCTGGGCCACCATGGGCATTATCCCCACTCCTTAAAGGGCAAAGGAAAAAATCACTGCTGAAAATCTAACCTAATATTCCTCATGTTCAAATGAAGACACCCATATAAGCTGAAATTAATTCACTGGGAAGAAAAACTGAACAGATAAATCCTTACTGTCTATTTTGTGCATTTAAAATAGCATGTGAACGAAGCTTCCTAAAAGCTTTATGGTACTCTGGCCAGAAAGTCATCCTGGAAACAAATGTTCTTCCCTTCCCATTAAGTAGAAAGACTCATGACCTACATCAGAACACATACCTGGCACCAAGGCAACTGACTCCCACAGACTATTTTCTGGGGAGGGCATGGAATGTATTTAAAGGCCTCTATCTCAAATCTGTCATTATGTAATTAGGATAATCAAAACATCTTAATAGATTCAATGTTCGTATAGAAACAGTGCTTTGGAGTGACCAGTGTTAGCTGCTAGTATCAAATATGACTATAATAGTGTAGCAACAGTACTTTTCCTCCCACTTATCTACCAAACAAACCAATACCATCACACACAATAAAGAACAACCCATAAGCTGCTTGGCCTCAGTAAGGCTGGTCATAACAAGCCCACGGCCAATGACAGAACACCAAGAAGGATGAGGAAGGAGTTGATGAGGAAAGAACAGACTGAGGGCGTTCTAAAAATAGAAGACTTTAGCTATGCACATGGTGATATAAGCCAAAGGGGAGTGTTGAAGTTGTAATACACACTAGGCTTGGGTATAATACCACAGTAGATGGAAGTCTTTAAAAAAGATTCCTTCCTAAACCTTTTGTGCTAATTCCCTGCCTGGAATTAACACACACAGCAGGTTAATCTTATAATCACAAGGATACACACAACCACAGGCAGACAGACACACACACACGGCCACATCCTTAACCCAGGAAGTCTTAAGTCCTCAATTAGGATTTCCAGCAAAATATTTGTTCTACAGCTTTCTGGACTGTTCCCCAGGTAGGTTATCATGTAATAAAATCCACACTCTCTTTATGTGGGAACTGAAGGACACCTTCAAATGCACTCTCAAGACCCATAAAATAATAAAACATACTAGCTGCTCCATTTTCATTTCACTGCTTTGAAATCTTGGAACCACTGATGTGATACCCCACAGAGAGGGCAAGACTTCACTGTGAAGTCACCAAAGGAACTCCTGCCCTTCTAGGTGCTACTTCAGTAATAACTCCCAACTCACTGGTCCTCTAAACCTGCAACAGGGAGGTGGTGTGCTAGGTAGCTACATGGGCAGGAGAAGAAATGGAAACAAATTCCCGGAGGATGTTTTTGGCCATCTCGATGTTGTTCTGGGCAATGACCAAAGCTTTCTGGATGTCCTGGTACGAGTACCCCTGACTCATGAGGTTCTCGATCTCACTGGAGAGCTGAGGCGAGGCGGTGGCAGCAGAGGCGGCAGCACCACTACCTTGCTGCCAACTGCCAGCTTTCCGTTCAGAGTTGATTCTCCGAGGGAATGGTTTAGGAGGTCTTTCAGGAACTTGGGAACCTTCAGTGACATCTAGAATAGGAAAACAAATATTTGCAAATCTGGGGAAATCCTCATTTAACGAGAGCAATAAAAATGTGCTAATATCAAGATATTATTGACTTTCTGTAAATTGGATACATGTGCTCTTCAGTCACAAGGCTGGGTTTTACAGGTTCAAGAGTTTTAAGATATAGCCTCCTCCTTATCACAATAAAAACAACCTTCTAAATATACCATGCACCCTTCTACAAACAATAACCACTGCAGTCATAAACAACTGCATCATGCTTTACACTAAGCAACATGTTTGTGCACATGTAATCGTCTGTTTTAATTCTGAGGGGACCAGAGAAGATACTAAACTTCGCCTTCTACAAATAAGGAAAAAGAGAGATGTAAGTTGCAATAAAGAAGCATTAGCCAAGGCTGAGTGGGGATCACTGCTCGTCTGGGCAACCGAAGGTTGTATTCTTTTTCACCAGCTGTCTGTCCTGAAGGCTGTCTTCAATTTCCAAAGTGACAGCAACTCTGGCTGCTGCCCTACCAGGCAGCCACAGGTGCAAGAAGAGCAGCCTCCAACAATGAAGGCCCAACATGGGCTGGCTCCAGGCCCATTCAGTGTGTGTTCCAGAGTCAGCACACCTCCTTTCCAATGGAATAGAGCCCAGGAAAAAGGAATGTGTGGTCTGAGCTATCAAACCTAATTACCAGTGTCATAAGGCATACTCAGAAAAACTATAAATCCTACCTACCCCTAACATAAGAAGAGCCAGAGTTTAAAGAATGACCTCTTTTCTAAGTCTGCAAAAATCCTAGAGAGTCTGACTACAGTCTAACTTCCTAACTTAGGACTTTCCTCCCATTTAGACATAATGTTTTGCCTACTACATCTACATGCTGACGTACTCTCACCAGAGAAGGTCATCTCCCTTTCAATATAAACATACAGGCCATACTGCCATTCAGGACAAACCCAAAGTAGCCTGGAGACTCACTTGTTGTGGGATCACCATCCAGAGACAACCAGCCAAAGGAGGAGCTGGCATTAGAGATATCTGACAGAGTCCGGCGGGCCAGCACGGCTGGCACAGGTGGCTTAGGGACATCATACCCATCATCCTCATTTTCTGGCTCCTCGGGGCCAGTGTTGGCATGGGCTGCAGCCAAACTCCCTTCACCTGGAGAAAAATCAGTGAGGTGATCTTCTTCTGACACACTTCATCTTCTAATACATTTCAATATAGGGTCATCCACTCATTTTTGCATGTATGCAATCATTTATCTCGTTCAACGAACAGTTACTGATTGTCTACTGTGGGCCAAATACCATGTAAACAGAGATAAAAATAGAAAATAAAATCTGCACCAACACTGCAGTTTTCATTTTTGAACATGCCAAAGGTTATTCTTGACAAAGTTAATAGCCACTGATGCCAATGACTCGAACGTCATCTCAGAGCATTCAATAAACATTTCTATCCACATTCCACCTTGGAAGATCAGCAGAAGGTCCTGTGAGAGCAGGCTTCTTGAACTTTCAATCTGGTAGGCTAATGAACATGGGAATTCAGTGTTCACCACCCCCACATAGAAGAATTTCATCAATGCAATGAGAATAAAAAGGAGCTTACAGGTCCAGGGTATAGAACACAAATGTCTCTAGGCCCTGAAAGGACAAAGAAAAGCACAAAAGGAACCAGTAGTGTGAGTAGGAAATAAAGGAATGGGGATACTTTACTCCTTTATTTTGCCATGGATCATTTTGCCAAAGATTATTGAAAATAATTTTCAGCTTTGTCCTGGCCTGGTGGCTCATGCCTGTAATCTCAGCACTTTGGGAGGGGTAGATCACCTGAGGTCAGGAGTTCAACACCAGCCTGGCCAACACAGTGAAACCCCATCTCTACTAAAAATACAAAAATTAGCCAGGCGTGGTGGCACATACTTGTAGTCCCAGCTACAGAAGAATTTTCAGCTTAGATTAAGCTATCTCAATTGCTAAATATTACATGTTCATTCCTATGACATATCAATGACTTTTAAAGTAGCAGAATGGCTACTTACCAAAGGTGCTGCTCTCGGTGACAGATGGCGCCTGGGACTGAATATTATACATTGCTTCATACGTACAGGTATCAATCTGCTGGTCGCAATCACATGCTCTGAACCAGAAGGAGAGTGCCATAATGATCTTTGGAAATAGAACTGTTATCTATAATCTTATGAAGATTAATCTCCTCCTTTTGCCAGTATCACTAATAAATGTTGTTAAGGTTGACTCTTGTGGCAAGTTACAGGTGTGTGTGTTTTTGAGGTTCTCATGTTGCTGAGAAAACATAAGTGCAATTACCTACAGCTACAAAAGGCTTAAACCATGAAGGGCTAGATTTATCTTTCTGCTTTAATCTGACTGGATAACACTATGTGCAGGCAGCAAGCCAATGAGGTGAAGGGTAGCAATTACCCGCATAGAGCTATATGGCCCAAAACAGGGTTGTTGTGAACCTACCGTGAACTCTGGGATGTATCCAAAGGCCGTAGAGGCCTGGAGGAGGGAGTCATGTACTCTGTGTCCTCTTCACCCTCACACTGCTCCCCAGGTGGCAGTTTTGGCACAGGAAGAGGTCTGGAAGATGAAGAATGAAAAACAGAAAAAGTAGTAACAAACTGGTAAACTTTGAAGTATAAAGTAAGTGACTTAAAAACAGACATAACTCAAATTGAACAGAGCAAAACACTTGCCACCTAGGGAACTATTATTTCTACTGACCAAGACAGGTAATTAGCAAAAGCACACTAACTAAAAATGTCACTTTCAACTGACCAAAGGTGCAGCTTTTATGCTTCCGAGGTGATATACTGGGCTAATCACCTGAGACACCGGTTGGTCCTAATCCCCACAGAAGTTTCATTATAGAGTCCCAGGCCCTAGAGTTAGAGAAACAGCAAGATTTTTTCTGACAATATGTTAGAACTGTACACTAAATTCCAATTCTAAACTCTACCTATGGTTTCAAGAAATGCATAGCTTGTCAAAAGCTTTCTCAAACTCCTTGTTTTATATAAGAAAAATTTAAAATACAGAGAGAGAAAGTGACCTGGCAGTTAGCATAAATTCTGAGGCTAGATCCCAGATCTACTGACTCCCACATCAAGGATCTGGCTGTTAAACCCACATGTAACTTTCACCCAGAAACTTTGGAAACAAGACTTCTGCCACGCCATGAAATGAAACAAAAAAACTCCCAAGAAATACAAAAACACCCCACCAAATTGTAGGGGGAAAAAAACTACACAAAAACCTACTTCTTGGAGTGTGAATGTTTCTCCTCCCTTCCTCTTTATATTATTTTTGCATATCCCAAAGATGCTACAAGGAGCATCTCTTTCATTTATTTGTCTGCTTGATGTTTAGTTTTCCTAATTATAAAAGTAACACATGTAAGTGCTATAGAAACTTAGCACAGAACATAAAAGTCCCCTTTAATCTCACTTGAGCTTTTTTCTTATGTCTACATATTACTTTTATTAGGTTGGTGCAAAAGTAATTGTGTTTTTTGCCGTTAATGGCAAATATCCACTTAAGATTTGTGCAATGCATGCTGAAGTTCTAAGGCAGAAATGTACTGGTATCTACAATTTACTTTGAAAACATCAAAAGACAGACATATAGTTTGATAAGACAAATATAATAAAATGCTAAAAGTAGAATCCAGGTGATCAGTATATGGGTGTTCACTGTAAAATTCTTTCACCTCTACTATCTTTGTAATTTTTCACAATAAAATGAGATGGCAGGAGGACAATCCATATTAACAAAGAAACACCTAGATTTTTCACTGGAGCACAGTAGCACGATGACAACCCGCTGCAGCCTCAATCTCCCGGGCTCAAGTGATCCTCCCGCCTCAGCCTCCTCAGTAGGTGGGACTACAGGCATGTGCCGCAACACCAGGCTAACTTAAAAAAAGAATTTTTTTTTTTTTTGTAGAGACAGAGTCTCACTATGTTGCCCAGGCTTTTGGGTTCAAGTGATCCTCTCGCTCCAGCCTCCCAAAATGCTAGGATTACAGGCCTGAGCCACCCCACCCAGCCCTAGTTTGTTCTTAATGTGGTATTTGGCCGCACTATGTCAGTGAAGGTATAGGGAAATGAATGGGTACTTTGTTACACAGCTGTAGAAATAAGGAATTGATACGTTTCTGTTGTGTAATTCAACAAAAGTATTTACCAAACACGCATACTCTTGGTCTCAGAAACTCCATTTCTGAGAATTTTCCCTAAGGAAACCATCAAGAACATTCATTGCAGCATTATTTATAATGCTGGAAAATTAAGCAATAACTTAAATACCAAATAATAATGTACTGAATAAATATTGAGCCACACAACTGTGTCCCCAAGTGCCTTAGAGGTTCCAAGCAGGAGCCACAGAAGCCTACCCCTGCTTCTACTACAATAGATCTATTCTTAGCTATTTTACAAACTGAGATTCCACTTAAGTTAGTTACACTGATGTATAATCACGTGAAATAATTTGAAAATCATTGCAATAGAATATGTAATAACATGCAAAGATGTTCAAGATATTTCTAGTGCAAACCAGCAATGACAATATGATTTCATACAAGAAAGAATGGCAATGAACATGTGTCGAATTGCTAACTACTGTCTGATTCTAGGTAGTAAGATTACAGATACCACTTATTTATTCAGTGTTGCTTACCTATATTTCCTTTTCCTTTTTCTTTTTTTCTTTTTGAGACAGAGTCTCACTCTGTCACCCGGCTGGAGTGCAGTGGCGCAATCTTGGCTCACTGCAACCTCCGCCTCCCAGGTTCAAGCGATTCTCCTGCCTCAGCCTCCCAAGCAGCTGAGACCACAGGCACATGCCACCACACCCAGCTAATTTTTGTATTTTTAGTAGAGACAGGGTTTCACCATGTTGGCCAGGATGGTCTCAATCTCAACCTTGTGATCCGCCAGCCTTGGCCTCCCAAACTGCTGGGATGACAGGAATGAGCCACTGAGCCCAGCCTGCTTACCTGTATTTTCTAAACTTTAGTTAACATGTATTATTTTTGTAAAAAGGGCCATTAAAAAGGCAATAAATATTTTTTTTGGAGACGAAGTCTCACTCTGTCGTCCAGGCTGGAGTGCAATGGCGCGATCTAGGCTCACTAAAACCTCTACTTCCCGTATTCAAGTGATTCTCCTGCCTCAGCCTCCCAAGTAGCTGGTGGTACAGGCGCCTACCACCACACCCAGCTAATTTTTGTGTTTTTAGCAGACACAGGGTTTCACCATGTTGGCCAGGCTGGTCTCGAACTCCTGACCTCAAGTGATCCACCCACCTTGGCCTCCCAAAGTGCTGGGATTACAGGTGTGAGCCACTGCGCCTGACTTAAAAATTTTTTAATTTTAATTCTCTGTTAATAAAGTCCATAAAATATATAATTGAACCTCCTTCTCACAAAGCATGTTGGCAATATATACTTTAAAAGAAAGACGCTGGAGAGCAACCAGGCAGCCATGACTTAACAGGCTAAGATTCAAGAAAGAATACATTAGAGTAAGCCCTGTATTAGGGACTTTGAACTAGGGGTTTAAAGTAGTCTCAATGGGCTGGTGAGAATGCTACGATATAAATGTGTCCCCCAATTTCATGTGTTGGAAACTTAGTTACCATCTTCACATGCTGATGCCTTGTTACAAGGTAGCAGGAAGGCCCTCACCACGTCAGCGCCATGCTTTTCAACATTCCAGCTTCCAAAAGCGTGGGCTAAATACTAACTTCTCTTCTTTATAAATTACTTAATCTCAGGTATTCCGTTATAACAACAGAAAACAGACTAAGAAGAGACAGGAATTTTGGGGTACAATGACAGCCAGGTTATGAGGGACCAAAAAGTATAGAGAAGGGAAGAGCAGAGAAGTATACCTGAAATGCCAGCAATTTTCCCTAGAGCTATTGCAAATCCCTAAACTGTTTATGCATGGGGCTAGATTTTGAGAAAACAAGCAGAAAGCAGCAATCGAAAAGCTAAATAGATATTTTGGCTGTCTTGCCAAGCTGGACAGAGTTGGAGTTATATATGGCCATTAAAATAATAATTTATTTGTTTAATAAAAAAAGATGATAGGATGGGCACGCTGGTTCACGTCTGTAATTGCATCCCTTTGGGAGGCTGAGGCGGGTAGATAACCTGAGGTCAGGAATTCAAGACCAGCCTGGCCAACACGGTGAAACCCTGTCTCTACTAAAAATACAAAAATTAGCCAGACGTGGTGGTGGCACATGTTTGTAATCCTAGCTACTTGGGAGGCTGAGGCAGGAGAATCGCTTGAACCTGGGAGGCAGAGGTTGCAGAGAGCCAAGACTATACCACTGCACTCCAACCTAGGTGACAGAGTGAGACTCCATCTCAAAAAAGAAAAAGAAAAAAAAAAAAAAGGATAGAATCGATACATTTTTTAAAATCACATGGAAATACTAGAACTTAAAAATACAACACAGTACCCAACTTATGATTTTTCAACTTTACAATGGTGCAAAAGTAACAAACATTCAATACACTTCTTTACTTACAATGGAGTAGTATCTGGATAAACCCAGTCAAAAATAGTATAAGTCAAAATGCACTTTCAACTTACAATGGGTTTACCGGGACATAGCCCCATCTTAAGTTGAGAAGCATCTGTATCTAAAAATACAACTGGACAACACAGCAAAACCCTATATGCACACAAAATACAAAAATTAGCTGGGTGTGGTGGTGCACACCTATAGTCCCAGTTACTAGGGAGGCTGAAAAAAATTTAAAAATCAAAGAAAATAAAGTATGCAGAGAAAAAACAATGGAAAAAAAAAAAAAAAAGACATCAGCATAAGAGCTCTCAGAGACATAGTGAAAAAGTCTAACATTCCGGAAAAGGTAGTCCCAGAAGAAGAGGACAAAGAGGGATTGCAATATTCAGTCTGTTTTCAGAAAAATTGGCTGACAATGTCCTAAAACTGATTAAAAATATCACAAACTAATTAAACTTTACCAAACTTACGAAGGCTTGGTTCCAGTTAGTGTTTGAAAAAGAAAAGGAGGTCAGGGTGCAGTGGCTCATGCCTGTAATCCTAGTACTTCGGGAGGCTGAGGCAGGTGAATCACTTGACATTAGGAATTCAAGACCAGCCTGGCCAAAATGGTGAAATCCATCTCTACTAAAAACACAAGAATGCCTAAAATCCCAGCTACTTGGCTAAGGTGGGAGAACTGCTTGAACCTGGGAGGCAGAGGTTGCAGTGAGCTGAGGTCACAGCATTGCATTCCAGCCTGGGCGACAGAGTGAGACTCCGTCTTTAAAAAAAAGAAGAAGAAAAAAAAACTTATGAAGGATTAAAAGATAAATACAAAGAAAACCACAAAGGAAGATACAGTAAAACTGCTGGGACCAGAGAGGGGAAAAACATTTTGTAAGTACCTAGGAAAAGCAGCAATATCTTTTTTTTTTTTAATGTACATTTTTATTTTTTGAGACACGGTCTCACTGTGTTGCCCATGCTGGAGTATAGTGGCACAATCATGGCTCACTACAGCCTTGACCTTCTAGGCTTAGGCAATCTGCCCACTTCAGCCTCCTGAGCAGCTCGGACCACAGGTGTACACCACCATGCCCAGCTACTTTTTTGTATCTTTTTCAGAGACAGGGTTTTGCCATGTTGCTCAAGCTGATCTCAAATCCGAGTTCAGGCAATCCGCTTGCCTCGGCCTCCCAAAATGCTGAGGCTACAGGCGTGAGCCACTGCACCTGGCCTATTTATCCGGCCTATTTATTTTTCAATTTTATTTGATTTTATTTTATTGAGACCGGGTCTTTCTCTGTAACCCAGGCTGGAGTGAAGTAGCGCCATCACAGCTCACGGCAGCCTCAACATCCTGGGCTCCAGCCAACCTTAGCCTCCACAGTAGCTGGGACTATAGGCATGTGACACCATGCCCGGCTGACTTTTTATTTTTTGTAAAGATGGGAGTCTCACTATGTTGCCCAGACTGGTCTCAAACTCCAGACTCAAGCGAGCGATCCTCCTGCCTTGGTTTCCCAAAGTGTTGGGATTACAGGTGTGAGCCACCACTCACAGTCAAGAAACACTACCTTTAAAGGAGTAACATTAAGGCTGAGAGCTTAGTTCTCAATAGAAACGATGGAAGCCAAAGTGGAATGCTATTTTTAAACTGCTGAAAGAAAATAGCTTTAGGCCGGGCGCGGTGGCTCACGCCTGTAATCCCTGCACTTTGGGAGGCCAAGGCGGGCGGATCACAAGGTCAGGAGATCAAGACCATCCTGGCTAACACGGTGAAACCCCATCTCTACTAAAAATACAAAAAATTAGCCAGGTGCGGTGGTGGGCGCCTGTAGTCCCAGCTACTTGGGAGGCTGAGGCAGAAGAATGGCGTGAACCCGGGAGGTGGAGCTTGCAGTGAGCCAAAACTGCGCCACTGCACTCCAGCCTAGGCGACAGAGTGAGATTTCGCCTCAAAAAAAAAAAAAAAGAAAAAGAAAATAGCTTCAGTTCAGACGCTATACTGGGCCAGGTGCAGTGGCTCACGCCTATAAATCCCAGCACTTTGGGAGGCTGAGGCGGGCAGATCACTTGAGGTCAGGAGTTCAAGACCAGCCTGGCCAACATGGTGAAACTCCGTCACTACTAAAAAACAAAAAATAAAAAAATTCGCTGGGCGGGGTGGCGTGCACCTGTAATCCCAGATACTTGGGAGGTGAGGCAGGAGACTCGCTTGAACCCAGGAGGTGGAGACTGCAGTGAGCTGAGAACATGCCACTGGACTCCAGCCTGGGTGACAGAGCAAGACTCCATCTCAAAACAAAACAAGACAAAACAAAACAAAAACAGATGCTGTATTCAATCAAAGTATCTCTTTGTTGCTGTTGTTGTTGTTTTGAGATGGAGTCTCACTCTGTCGCTCAGGCTGGAGTGCAGTGGCGCGATCTCGGCTCACTGCAACCTCTGCCTCCTGGGTTGATGCCATTCTCCTGCCTCAGCCTCCCAAGTAGCTGGGACTACAGGCGCCCGCCACCACACCTGCTAATTTTTTTGTATTTTTAGTAGAGATGGGGATTCACCGTGTTAGCCACAATGGTCTTGATCTCCTGACCTCGTGATCCGCCCGCTTCGGCCTCCCAAAGTGCTGGGATTATAGGCGTGAGCCACCACGCACAGCTAAGTATCCTTTTAAAAAATTAAAAGTGGGCTTAGCACGGTGGCTTTCACCTATAATCCCTGTACTTTGGGAGGCCAAGGCGGGCAAATCACTTGAGCCCAGAAGTTCCAAACCAGCCTGGGCAACATGGCAAAACCCCATCTCTACAAAAAATGCAAAAATTAGCTGAGTGTGGTAGCGCGCATCTGTGGTCCCAGCTACTTGGGAGGCTGAGGCAGGAGGATCATTTGAGCCTGGGAGGTTTAGGCTATAGTGAGCCGAGATTGCACCACTGCACTCCAGCCTGGGCAACAAACAGAGATGCTGATTTAAAACACACTCTAGGCTGGCTGTGATGGCTCACATCTGTATTTCCCAGCATTTGAGGAAGCTGAGACAGGAGGATCTCTTGACACCAGTAGTTCAAGACCAGCCTGGGAAATACAGCCAGACCTTGTCTCTACTAAAAATAAAAAATTTAAAACTTAGCCGGGCATGATGGTGAATGCCTGGAGTCCTGGTTACTCAGGAGACTGAGGCCGGAGGTTCTCTTGAGCCTAGTATGCTGAGGCTGCAGTGAGCTATGATTGAGTCTTTGCACTCCAACCTGGGCAACAGATCAAGACCCTATCTCTAAATAAATAAATAAACAAAACTCTAACAGAAGTCGAAAGTGCATGATGGAATCTCTTGATAACTATTAAAGAACAGGAGTTGTGCTCACTTCAGCAGCTCATACAACTGAAACGATAGACAGATGATTACCATGGCCTCTACACAAGGATGACACACAAATTCGTCAAGTGTTCCATATTTTTTTTAAAAAAAAAAAGAATAGAAGGAGTGAAATGGTATAATACAGAGGTTATGCAAATACTAAAAGACAGGTGATGTAGCCACTTTCATGTATGGCAAAGCAGACTTAAGGCAGGCAAGAAACAGAATTACAGAATAAAAGAGGTATATCTGATTATAATAAAAACTTATTTAGCATCAAAAAGTCTTAAGTTTCTATGTACCCTAATTACATAGGCTAAATATACAGATAACGCAAATAAACATAACTAAAAGGAAAAGAAAAAACCACAGTCATAGGTGGAGAATTTAACATTCTCCTCTCAGTTATCCAACAGCAGAGAGATTTAAAAAAGGTTCTAGGGAGATACAAGATTTAACACAATTAACAAATTTGACCTCATAAACTTACACAGAATGCTACAACCCAAAAACTGCAAAATACACATTCTTAGGAACTGAGGGTGATACAAATTACCAAATTTTACCATAAACTAGTTGACAATATGGTTTCTGATCACATTAGAATAAAGCCACCAGTAACAGAAGGATAACTAGAAAATTTTCAAAGGTATGAAAATCAGGCAACATATAAATAACCCATAAATTAAAGAAACCACAAATAGAAAACGTATGTATTTTGAACTTAATGAAAATATGACATATCAAAATGGGTGGAATACCGTAAAATATGTTTGTGTTCTCCCTAAAATCATCTGTTGAAGCCCTTATTCTCAGTGTACACATAGATTTTTATCAATAAACACAGTCAGGCTTTTGTATCCTTGGGTTCTGTGATTATAAGCAAGTTTGGCTTGAAAATACAGTGTTCATTAGAACCCACATATAGGGAGGGTCAACTTTTCATATATGTGGCTCCACAGGGCCAAGTGTGGGACCCGACCATGGGCGTTCTGGTATATGCTGGGGTCTTGGAACTAATCCCCTGCATGCATATATACTGAGGGGTGGCTGTATTTGGAGATGGGGCCTCTAAGGATGTAATTAAGGTTGGGAGAAGTCAGATCCAGCAGTAGCATTGGTGTCCTTATAGGAAGAGACCCCAGAGAGCTTGTGCGCGCTCTCTTTCTCTGTATCTGCGCAAACACTGAGGATGGCCATGTAAGGACACAGTGAGATGCAGGAAGAGAGCCCTCACCGGAAAGCCACTATGCCGGCACCCTGATCTCAGAATTCCAGCCTCCAGAACTGAGGGAAAATAAATTTCCACTATTTAAACCACCCAGTATGTGGTATTTTGTGATGGTAGCCTAAGCAGACCAACACAGCATCCATTCCATGAAGCTAGAAAAACAGGAAATTAAACTTAAAGAAAGCTGGTCTTAAGAATAAAGAGCACAGAGCAATGAAACAGAGAGCAGATATCCAAAATAACCTCCTTGAAAATATTAATAAAGTTGACAGGCCCCAGCAACACAGATCAAGGTACATGTATGCAGAAAAAGGAAAAGAAGGAAATACTCTAAAACATAAAATATAATCATTTCTACATGGTGCAAACAGAAATTAATTTTTATTTTCTTTTTTACACTTCTCTGGGTTTTCTAAATTTTATGCAAGTAAACTTTTCACAAGTACCAACTCCACTGTATGAAATATATATAGCTTTAACAGACTTACCTGGCAGCCAGAGAATAAATGGCATTGGCAGATGAGGAAGGTTTGATTTTGGGGTGGTCACACTCTGGACCTACTAATGGGCTGCTATTCATACTCTGGAAAGTAAAGAAAAGTGTTGAAAAACAACTTTCTTACCACAGCTGAGCTGCTCCTCTTACTGAACCTTTTCAAAATAACAATAACAGATACAGACCTAACTCTCAATGCCATGCCCAGGGGTTATCACATCTGACACATCTGACCTGAAGGCTTAGAGGCCTTAAGGTTCTGAAGAACCTTCAAATGTAAGGTTTAGGGAGATGGAGATCTAGAAAGAGGCAGGGAAATGAACTTTTTGGTTTAATTCTAAAAAGATTTGAGTAAATTGGCTATCCACACAAATACCATTAGTATCTTAAATAATCTATATCCAAACTCAAAACGGTCATTCCATACTGATGCTGACAGAAAGTCAAACCTAATCCACACTCACTAATTAAACTGTCCACCTCACTGGTACCACTTGAGTGTTACCCCTTCTCTGCAATGAAAGAATATGCCATTCACTTAGTGCCACATTTCTCAACTTTACTCTTCCCATTCCATCTCCTTAGATTTCTGACTGCCTGCTTGCCAATGCTTCCATCAACTGCTCATTTCAAATTCAACAGTCAGCCAGGTAAAAGCTTCATTTTTATGTGCATGCGGTACACATGTGGTACTTCTTATCTTTTATTCCATGCGCTGACTGCTTTTCAAGCCTTAACAAGTCTTATTTCATGCTCTCAAGAGGCTTCGACCTAATCTGGCTGCCCACTCTGCTCATAAACAATGATTCTCTCTCTTGCTCATTTAGTACTGGCTATACTAAACCCCTTTTTTACTCTTCAAACGGTCTCTCCCAAACTCACTTGCTTTTTCCTTCATCCTGGAATAATCTCCCCTGGGATCAGCATGGCAGGTCCCCCCTACTGCTACAGGTTTCTGCTCAGAATTGTACTCTGTAACTTCACGTACCTCCCACTCCTGTGCCAGCTTTCTCTATACCCTTCTTTGGGCTATTTTTCTCCACAGCACTTGTGACTGTGAACATACTATGTTATTCAATTAGCGTGTTTATATTCCATCTTCCTCCCATTAGAATATAAACTTTGTGAGGGCAAGACTTTTTGTTGAGTGCATAAATGAACAAAACATCAAATATTCCTCTCCCACCTCCCAGTTCCGGACCCTTTCTTGCATATTTAGACAAAAGACCAATAACCTACCTCCAAATGCTCTTCATTTCCTACCATATAAATTAAAATTCTTTTGGGAGAGGGTATTCAAGTCTCTCTAATATAGTGTGATGTTCCTTTCCAGTTCTTTCTCCTACTGACAAAATTTCTGCTCTACTTAAAATAACCTAATCGTCATTCCACAGTACACCTTAAGCATTTGTCATTGTGGCTGTTAACAATCTGAAAACCGTATCCACTTTCCAAAGAAATACTTCAGATTCAGATGCCACTCCTTCTATAAAGTCCTCACGATTGCCCTACCTGGGAATAACCTCTTATTTCTCTAAAACTTAACTGTTTTCTAGTTAGATGACAAATGGCATTTATAAAAGGACATTTGCTGCAATATTTACAAACTGCCTCATCTGGTCTATGAACATATACACTTTTTTTTTTTTTTCGAGACAACCTTTCACTCTTGTTGCTCAGGTTGGAGTGCAGTGGCATGATCTCAGCTCACTGCAACCTCTGCCTCCCAGGTTCAAGCGATTCTCCTGCCTCAGCCTCCCAAGTAGCTGGAATTACAGACACCCACCACCAGGCCCAGCTAATTTTTTGTATTTTTAGTAGAGACGGGGTTTCATCATGTTAGCCAGGCTGGTCTCCAACTCCTGACCTCAGGTGATCCACCTGCCTCGGCCTCCCAAAGTGCTGTGATTGCAGGTATGAGCCACCGTGCCCGGCCACACTTCTTGAGGGTAGAAATTATGCTATAGCATCTCTGAATTCCAGATAAAACCTATCACAAAATTGCAACCCATAAACTTCTATCCACACATATTTCCTTTTCTTTCTTCGTTTTTTTCAAGACAGGGTCCCACTCTGTTGCCTAGGCTGGAGTGCAGTGGCACAATCATGGCTCACAGAAACCCTGGCCTCCTGGGCCCAAGCAATATTCCCATCTCAGCCTCCCGAGTAGCTGGAATTACAGGCATGTGCCACCATGCCCAGCTAATTTTTGTAATTTTTGTAGAGACAGGGTTTCAAAAATACCATGTTGCCCAGCCAGGCTGGTCTCGAAATCCTTGGCTCAAGCGATTCGCCCACCTTGGCCTCCCAAAGGGGTGGGATTACAGACATGAGCCACTGTGCCTGGTCCACACATACTTCTTAACAGGTTAGATAGTTTCAAAATTAAGACTCACCATGGAGGTATCCAGACTGAACGTGCTTCCGAGCCTAGGCACATCTGGTCTGGGCTCCATTTGTGAGGGCAATGAAAACGGAAGTGAGTGCCGGTTGGTTAATTCTCTTCCTGTCCAGGGATCACTGGAACTTGGGGCAGATACTGGTACTTTGGGGATCGGCCGGGGCAGCCATGAGTCTCCAAGGCGGCTAGAGGGGACAGGTGGCAGTTTGTCTCTGGATGGACAATCGCCTGGTGTACAAGGCAAGGGGCGTCTCTGAGGTCGGGATTCTGTTCCAACAGAATATGGCCGGTCTGGAGGCGGTGGTGGTGGAAGATCTCGAAGTGTGGGAGGTACTGGCAATGGTTTGTCTTTATGAAGGGAGCCAGAAGCAGCCTGTGGAAGCACAGTGAAAGCAAATCAATAAAAACCCACTAGTACACAGCAAAGAATCCAAAAACTGCAGTAATGGAAAATGCTTTACCTTAGAAGCAGTTCCAAGAGCAGAAGCACTTGAGGGAACACATACTCGCTGCGGCAGAAGGTCAAGTCGTGGTGGCACTGGGGGAAGGGAAGCTTGTGGGGCCATGGAGAATGGAGAAGGCGGCCGTTCCACCTAGGGTACATAAAAAATTTAACAGGTTACTCTTGTTTGGGGAAATGGCATCTTTCAACTCTCCTAAAGCTGTTGATGGCAAATACCATGGGAACACTTACAACGACAAATGGGCCAGACTTAGGTTTAAGGTCACACACACCCTCTTAAAAAACTTCCAGATACTCTAGCACTTCCTGAATAATTTTTGTGTCACCATAAGAGGGCACTCTCAATCACAGAAACACCATACCCATGGCAAGCTACAGGTATTCTATCTAGAAAGGAGAGGGTGACAAAAAATTTCCTAGCTTACAATTTTAAAAATTACTACAGTTTTCTACCCCCTCACCTTTGGAGAAAGAAAAAAAATCTTTTCAAGATTAAAAATAGGGATCCGTAGAAAAAGAAAGGGGCAGGCCATGCATGGTGGCCCACACCTGTAATACTAACATTTTGGGAGACGGGAGTTCGAGACCAGTATGGGCAACATAGTGAGACCCCGTCTCTACAAAAAATAAAATAAAAAATTAGCTGGGCCATGGTGGCACACAGCTATTTGGGAGGCTAAAGCAGGAAGACTGCTTGAGCCCAGGAGTTTGAGACTGCAGTGAACCATAATCATGCCACTGTACTCTAGCCTGGGCAACAGAGCAAGAGCCTGTCTCGACAAAAGAAAAAAAAGGATGGAGGGCGGGGTACAGATATTAACCTCTCAACAAAGTACCTGGGAAAACAATGTTTAAGGGACATAACAAAGAAACAGATCAATGATGATGAATTTTCTATGGGTTATTAAAATGAGAAAGAAGAGTGGGTACAGCGGCTCACACCTGTCATCCTAGCATTTTGGGAGGCAGGAGGATTGCTTGAGGCCAGGAGTTCAACACCAGAGATCCCTCTAAAAAAATTTTTTTAACTTAAAAAAAATTTTAAAGGTGAAATTTGTAAAAAAAAAAAAAAAAAAAAAAAAGATCAAGAATATCACTAAAAAGTATCTTGAGTTCTTCCAAAAAAATAAATTATTTCAATTCAAGAATTAAAAGGGATTAATATTTTCTGTCAATTTGAGCTCTAAAAAATGAGGTACCAAATTAGAAGAAAGAACACATATATAACCTCTTACATTTCCCTGCCTATAGCAGGCTATAGGAATAGCTGATAAGCTTGCCAAAGTAAGCGGTCAAGAGATATACAGTAATTCATTTAAAAAAAAAAAAAAAATGCTACTCTGCATTTAAATTCCCTAACAGGAAAGCAACACTGACAGAGGAACAACCATCCCCATACTTAGTCCTGTTATTAGTGTTGGGTGGTAGATGACAGAAAAGAAAGCTCTCATCTTTAGCTCTTTGCTTTATCCACATGCTTAAGATAACGGGCTCCCAATCAGCTGACAATGCAGCATGAGCGACTAAACAGCTCAATGACAAAAGTCAAAGTCAAGCCTCCTCTCACTTCATCATAATTATTTTGTCAGTCGCTATATCCTGCTGATTTTTCCCTAAAAGATTCTCATATCTGTATATCTCATTTCATTCTACTTAGCAACCTCAGATCTTATTTATTTATGGGAGACAGGGTCTTGCTCTATAGCCCAGGCTGGACTGCAGTGGCACAAACATGGTGCACTGTAGCCTTGACCTCCTGGGCTCAAGCCATCCTCCTGCCTCAGCCTCTCAAGTAGCTGGGACAAGGTGTGCACCACCACACGTTGCTTTTTTTGGGGGGGCGGGGGGGTTGGGAAGCGCCAGGTAGACACGGTCTTGTCATGTTGCCCAGGGTGGTCTCAAACCTCTGGGCTAAAGTGATCCTCCTTGCCTTGGCCTCCCAAAGTGCTGGGATTACAGACGTGAGCCACCGCGTCTTGACGTGATTTATTAAAACAACACAGTGAACTTCCCAACTTATAGTTTATCTCACCACATCCTTCTGCTTACCACTATCAGCTTAGCCATTCTTAAACACTCACCAACTCAAAAACCACCAGTAACTCCCAATTTGCCCTGTTACAAAATCTCACCCTCCTGCAGGGCTTTCTAATCTGGTCTCTGCAACCAAAGGTATTTCCCACAACTCCCTAACAAGTGTCAAGCCTGCTCTATTCAGGCTTATCTCCTCAGTGTTTCCTGCACATGCTATGATTATTTCGACTTCGGTATGATTCTTCAAATTCTTTCCCCATTCTGGAAGGCCCTCTCATCGATCTTTCTCTCATTCCTTAAGTACAGAGGGTTGAACTAATCATATTTTTAAATTCATGTCTCAACATCACAACGGATCCTTGCAATATTCTTTTTTTTTTTTTTTTTTTTTTCTGAGATGGAGTCTCACTCGTTGCCCAGGATGGATTGCAATGGCACAATCTCGGCTCACTGCAACCACTGCCTCCCAGGTTCAAGCCATTCTCCAGCCTCAGCCTCCCAAGTAACAGGGATTATAGGCATGTGCCACCATACCCGGCTAAATTTTGTATTTTTAGTAGAGACAGGGTTTCACCATATTGGCCAGGCTGGTATGGAACTTCTGATCTCAGGTGATCTGACCGCTTTGGCCTCCCAAAGTCCTGGGATTACAGGCGTGAAGCACCGCACCCGGCCGCAATATTCTTTTATCTCAGCATATAAGGTTCCAGAAAAGGTAGAACCTTTATAAATTTATAAATGGAAAACAAATGATCAGAGAAATACGAACATTTCCAAGACTTAAAGACTTAAAGGACATAAATAGCCAAATAGAAAGGGTTTATTACATACCCAGCTCAATGAAGGAAAAGAAACCCACAACAAACAAACCAAAAATACCCTTACATTTTTCATCAAATCAAGGATGAGGAAAATATCTTAAAAGCTTCTGGTGGGCCAGGTGCGGTGGCTCACACCTGTAATCCCAGCACTTTGGGAGGCCGAGGTGTGCGGATCATTGAGTTCAGAAGATCAAGACCATCCTGGCTAATACAGTGAAACCCTGTTTCTACTTAAAAACAAACAAACAAAAAAAATTCGCCGGGCATGGTGGCAGGCGCCTGTAGTCCCAGCTACTCAGGAGGCTGAGGCAAGAGAATGGCGTGAACCCAGGAGGTGGAGGTTGCAGTGAGCTGAGACTGCGCCACTGCACTCCAACCTGGGTGACAGAGCAAGATTCCATCTCAAAAAAAAAAAAGGGGGCTTTTGGTGACAGAGGGAAAGGAAGCACTGAAAAGTAAAAATACATTAGAAGCTAGAAGTCAGTGAAGCCTTAACAATTTAGAAGAGAATATTTATCAACCTAGAATTCTGTAACTAGTCAATTTACATTTGAGGGTTGAATAAAGGCCTTTTAAGATACCAACAATCTCAAGAAGTTTATCTCTCACCCTTTCACAGAAAGCCATTTTAAGGACATAAAGAAGTAAAGCGAAAAAGAGGAAAACACGGGAACCAAGGTACTCCAAGAGAGGAGAGGCAATGAAGTCCCATGAGTATGGCGAGGGGACACCTCAGGGTGACAAGCAGTATGGCACAGAGAATAACTGGAGCAGACTGGAGCTGAACACAGATGACTCCTATTTCCTACGCAGCAGTACACGATATCACATACTACTATACTAACATATTTTATTTCACAGAAACTATATTGAGAGGATGTTTGAGAGTACGGTATGATTTGGTAGTGACAGGTACAAACTGAAAACTAAAAAATAAAAATAATTATACCAGGAAAAGCAGAAAGTTGTATAAGAAAGCAAAAGTAATTATTGTATAGTATGCTATTTGGCACAGTATGGAGTGAAATCATATAAACACTGAGTACTAAGCCAAATTCAAATAACTGTTGTGGGAAGATATGGAGTACAGAGGAGGGAGATAAGAGACCTAAACACTCTCCCACAATATCTCAGGTGAAGAGATCAAGAATCCAGAAGCAGCAGCATAAGCATATGGTTAAGAAACACAGAGGTAGTAAACAGTTTCAAGAATTAAAACTCTGAACGAGGGGACAGAGAGGTGCTGGAGGGGACAGAGGCAGGGAACCAATGTTTTTGTAAGTTTTTTAGCAATTCTTTTAAACCTTAAAAAAAAAATCCATGTGCCTTCACCAACTATAAGTAGATTCACTATATTAAAAACAAATCAAAATAAAACAACAAACAACATCTACCAGGATGTGAAGAAACAGGCATTCTCATTCTTTTCCATACCTTCAAGAGTGATTTCAGGACCAAAAAAAAGGGGCTAAGCTTTAATAACTATCCACAAGTTAAATATTTTCACTCAAATTATTTTATTCATACAAAATATATAACGAATTATGAAGTACAAGGAATAAAACATCCATGTACTTATCATCCAGCTAAAAAACAAAATACCATTATCACTGTGATATTCCCATGAGCCCCTCCATTAATCATAACCCTATCCCCTCTATCACAGTTGAAATACACACACCCTTATGCAGCAATCCCACTGCTAGCCTAGACAGACCTTGTTTAAAAGCTGGTCAATATATGTAAGCCTGCAAACAATATGAATGTCCATTAAAAGGAAGACAAAATAAATTATGGAATGGTCAAATGACAAAATACATGAAGCTGGCTTTTTTTCTGTTTGCATTTCTACATGGCTAGGGAAAGAGTGTTCCTTTACTTCTTCCTCTAAAGTGTTTCAACTGCACATATGTCCTCTTCCTAAATAAAACTATTAGCTCCTTGAAAGCCTTGTCTTAGACTTCTTATCCCATATAGCACTCAACCATCTAGCACAACAAACACTTTGAAAAAGTAACATGCATTAATTGTAAAAAATTCAAATATTCCACAGAATTTAAGTGCTCTCAGTTTCTATCCTCAGAAATAACAGTGATTAGTTTGGTATGTAGTCATCCAACTTTTCTATGTATATCCTTTTAAAAAAAATTTTTTACAGAAATAAGTCACGCTACACATAGTATACAATTGCTTTTTATTTATGAGACAGGGTCTCACTATGTCACCCAGCCTAGAGTGCAGTGGTACAATCACAACTCACTCCTGACTTGAATTCCTGGGATCAAGCAATCCTCCTGTCTCAGTCTCCAGACTAGTTAGAACTACAGGCGAACACCACCATGCCCAACTATTTTTTTTTTAGGGGGGCATGGGGGCAGTGGTGGTAAAAATAGGGTCTTGCTATGTCGAATTGCTGGGCTCAACTGATCCTCCAGCTTTGGCCTCCAGAGTAGTCAGAACTACAGGTACACAACACCATACCCAGCTTTTTTTTTTTTTTTTTTTTTTTTTGGAGTTGGGAATAGAGATAGGGTCTCACTATATTGCCAAGGCTGGTCTCAAACTGGGCTCAACTGATCCTCCAGCCTCAGCCTCCCAAAGTACTGGGATTATACACATGAGCTATAGGCATGCCCAGCCCCAACTTTCTAATGCCAAGACTCCACTAAAAAAAAGGGAACAGAACTTATTCTAGTTGCATTAGCAAAAGAGGATCCAGTTCTTTTATTTCTCCATCATATTCTCCACCAAGAGATACGAATAAAGTCTTAGTCCTAAAATACAGACAGTATTGGGCCTTAAGCTGGAATGCCTAGTCACAGATGCAGCTCACAGATGCTTCAACCTACTAGCTGTGTGATCTTAGGATCTTAGTCCTAAAACTTCGGATCTTAGTCCTAAACTTCGGATCTTAGTCCTAAAATACAGACAGCATGGGCCTTAAGCTGGAATGCCTGGTTACAGATGCAGCTCACAGATGCTTCAACCTACTAGCCGTGTGATCTTCGGCAAATTCCTTAACCTCTTTGTGCCTCAGTTTCTTAATCTGTTAAATGAGGATAACAGTAGTACGTACTCATGGGGTTGTAGTAAAGATTATATGAGTAAAAAACAAGCAAAGTGCTTAACATATCTGTCATATAGTAAATGCTCAATAAATATCAGCTATTAATACTACCTATCATTGTAGTTTGGATATCATTAAGTGTTTTACGGCTTTAGAACATAAACTCATAATGGATTTAGCCAGTCTCCTAAACTGCTGTCTTACCTTGGCACCAGCCAATTCCTTCATCATGAAGAGAGTATCATCAGCTCGTTCATCATCATCATCATCATAATTTGGGGAGGGAGCTCCCTCTGCTCCTTGCCTCAACAGGCTGCCACTCCCTCTAGGATCAAATGGATCTACCACGATGGGTTCAGTACCTTTAATTTCACATCGGCAGAAAGGACAGCCCTGACCTTCTGATTCCTGCAGAAGAAGCAAGAGATAGTAAAAGATGTATCTGAAAATACTTAAAATATTAATCTGCTAGAAAATACATTTCCTAGAGATTAAAAGAAAGTAAAAGTTTAAACCTAACCCCCAAAGCCAGACCACCCCTTGTATCAGTAAAGGCTATATAATACCGAATTCTCCAAGGTGATTACATAGCTGAAGAAAGTCACTGTTTAGATCCATACCTGCCAGGATGTAAGACAGGATGTGCACATGAGGTGTCCACAGGGCTCAATCTTTACATCCTTATCATTTTCAGCACATATTTTACACAGCTGGAATGTGGAGCCCATCTCACAGTATAATTCATATTGTTCCTTTAAGAAAAATTAAGAGACTATTAGTTGAATAAATAACTGCAATCATAAATGTTAACAACAGAAAAAGTGAAGACTTGCTTCCTATACAAATTTTGCTTACATAAAAATGTCACAACAGTGGTTTATTTTCTCCCATTAAACCAGAAAGCATCTAGTCTGGGTCCTATTTTAAGCTCCAGGGTTTAAAGTGAAACCACATACACACAAATTCACTAATCTAGTCAACAGTTTAAATTCACTAATCTAGTCAATGGTGTTCCAATCAATTCAATTATGCCATCAGTTCTATAAAGAATATACTAAAGTTTGTGTCCAGTGATATGACTATGATGTAAAACAAAACTCACCTGGGTCACTTTGATATGGTCTTGGGGAGTTGGTTCACATAAGCCAGTCAGATCAGGATTCTGATTTCGTCCATCAGGAAACAAATAGCTGTAAAGAGTAACCAATCTTGGGTTTTATTGAAGCCAATTTACCAGTGCTTGCTAATATAGACAAATGGTATCTGGGAGTTCCTCCAATCTAAAAGGGCAACTTGGTGTAAGTATAAAGATAAATCTTACTTCAAAAAAATAAATAACAGAACAGTTCAAAGATATTCTCCAAAAACAAAGATATTCTCCTTCTCCAGGTAACAATGCCATAGGTTCTATCTTTTAATCAGGGGTTGGTTAGCAAAGCTTTTCTGTGAAGAGCCAGACAGAAAGTCATTTAGGATTTGTAGGCCACATTAGTCTGGGTCACATATTCTTCTCTGTTTTTTTCAAAATGACTCTTAGGAAAAACTATCTTGGCTTACTTGGGGAACAAACAGGTAGCCCATGGGTCACAGTTTACCAACCAATTTTTAATCAATGGATGGCCACCAGACAGAAATTCTTTTTCTTTTTCTTTTTTTTTGAGACAGATTTTTAAAATTTTTTCTGAGGTTGCAGTGAGTGATCTTGGTTCACTGCAACCTCCACCTCCCGGGTTCGTGATTCTCCTGCCTCAGCCTCCCAAGTAGCTGTGATTACAGGCACTTGCCACCTCGTCTGGCTAATTTTTTGTACTTTTAATAGAGATAGGGTTTTGCCATGTTGGCCAGGCTGGTCTTGAACTCTCACTGACCTCAGGTGATCCGCCCGTCTCAGCCTCCCAAGGTGCTGGGGTCACAGGTGTGAGCCACTGAGCCCAGCCTAAATTCTTAATTTAAACTCCATTTGCTTTTGATCAAAAACCTGAAATACCTTTATTTACAGGTTTAAGAAAATGAGAGACACTAATTTAAAAGCAATGTAACAAGATGCAAATTAAGCCACTGAGATCATCTACCAGGGAGATCCAGTTTCTAGCATCAAACTGTTCTGACACTTGGGACAGCACTTCTTTCAGACCCAATGCTATCATAAGTAAAAGATAATGTATAATACAAAATGCATTTTCCTAATCACTTTAAAACACAAGCTAGTTTTCTACCACCTGGTCAACTGTTAGTATTTTTAAGTGTTTACCAACTGATAATCAATTTGAATTCTCAAAGGAATAGCAATTCTGGAATAAATAAGGACTTAGTTATAAATAACAGCATAGGTTACAAAAACCCAAGGCCTGAAGAAATGCTGCTGAACAAAAATGAAGTGAGGATGAAAGCAGATGAAGGCCACTGAGGCCTATGGCCATTAGGAACATTGAATCACTTGAATGCCAACTAAATAACTGGTCAAATTTCCTGCTAATTGGTATATTTTAAAACCCAAAATAGGCTTGAAAATAAGTTAACATTTGGAAAAAAAAAAAAGATGACGTTTATTTATGGTAATAACTGAAGCGGTAGAGAATAATTTCACTCATGGAATCCCTAAAAAAGAAAAACAAGTCTTCCAGGACCTGAAGGTCAAATCAGTATCATCTGTTAATATTTTCCTGAATCTCAGTCTGTAGTTTAAGAACCCTGGAATAAAGTCACGAATGATGAGGTTTTACAGCCCCTAAGTTCCTAGACCCTAACAGATGGTATGCAGTAGGTACTCACAAGCCTTCCCTGAAGCCATCAATCAGTGCTTGGAAGAGAGGTTTATTGTGAGGGATTGTCTGGAGAATGTTCCCATCAGCAGTAACATACCCAATAGCCCACTGACCCAGACGAGTACAGCTCAGCCGGAAGATGTAACTATGAACAGAGACAAACAGAAGCTTTAGTAGATTATGCTGGTATTAGGGTGGAAGGCAAGGCAAGATACAGCCAAAATTAAAAGGACCGTCAAGAATAACTTTTTTTTTTAAAAAAAAAGACAGAGTCTGGCTCTGTCACCCAGGCTGGAGTGCAATGGCACGATCTCGGCTCACTGCAGCCTCCACCTCCTGAGTTCAAGTGATTCTCCTGCCTCGGCCTCCCGAGTAGCTGGGACTATAGCATGTGCCACCATGCCTGGCTAATTTTTGTATTTTTAGAAGAGATGGGGTTTCACCATGTTGGCCAGGCCAGTCTTGAACTCCTGATTTCAAGTATCTGCCCAACTTGGCCTCCCAAAGTGCTGGGATTACAGGCATGAGCCACCACACCAAGGCAAGAATAACACTTCTCCTTAGCTTCAAGTCAGTGACAAGTAAAAAGAAAGAAAATATTTTTAAAAAGAGAGTAACTTCCTCCATGACTCCACACCAGAAGCAAACGACATATAAACTCAATTCTTTTTTGTTTGTGTTGGTTTTGAGACGGGGTTCCACTCTTGTTGCCTAGGCTAGAGTACAATGGCATGATCTCGGCTCACTGCAACCTCTACCTCCCAGGTTCAAGTGATTCTCCTGCCTCAGCCTCCTGAGTAGCTGGGATTACAGGCACCTGCACCACACCTGGATAATTTTTGTATTTTTAGTAGAGACAGGGTTTTACCACATTTGCCAGGCTGGTCTCAAACTCCTGATCTCGTGATCCGCCCGCCTTGGCCTCCCAAAGTGCTGGGATTACAGGTGTGAGCCACTGTGCCCGGCCATAAACTCAATTCTTAAGTGGTCTGAAAACATTTATCAAATTATAGGATCTGAATTAAGTCAATACATCTGATAAACAGATATCAATCCTATTGCAGAATCTTGGCTATTGCGAAACTAATAAAGGCCATGTTTCTTCTATACTAGCAGAAGTCTCAAGATAACAAAATTCAGAAGAATAAACCTTTTTGCTTCATTGCACTGACCTGCCAGGTTTGTGAATGAATTTCTGGAGCCGAGCTTTCACTTCGTCATACGTCAAAAAAGCCATGTAGCCAGGATGAGTTACAGCAAGGCTGTTCCAATTCCTGAGCAAAGAGGACCAGGGCTAAAGAAATGAGATCAATCACAGACTATTCAGATCAGACGTACAACCAACTCAGAGGGCAATGAGAAACAAACAAACAAACAAACAAAAACACCACCACCAACTCTTACTTCATTGTCAGAAATTTTTAATTATACCATCACTCAGAGGGAAGACACACGTGTTTGGGAGATTAAAAACTCTGAAAAGCTATGAAGAAAAGAATATATGCTTATAGGGAGAAACTTAATACAAAATGAAAATTCTAGAATTTGTAAAGCAGCTCTAATTAACAGTAGTGGGGATGAACAACAACAAACTGAAAACCAGGATAGGGCCTACAGGTGCAACCAATAAGTTTCAAATAAATATATATGCAAATTGGCATAGACAACACCAGAGAAAGCATTATTTTTAGAGAAAAAGAAAGGAGTTGTTTTTGAAGTATCTAAACATCTCAATATTAACAGTCAATTTTGATAAAACAGGAGAAAAAGTTGCAAACATACACAAATATCCAGTATCAGAAAACTAATATATCCATATTCTGGCCATTCTACAAACATTAAAATGATACACAAGAAGAATATTCAGTAACAAGGAAAGATGTGAAGAGAAGAAAGCAGGTGGTATAGCTGTCATTTTCACTATATATACATACACACATATATTTTTAATACGAGGTAGTTTTAATCTTTTTTTGGCATAGTTCCTAAAATGAATTAAATACTTTCACACAGACAAAAACCCCAATTTTTTTTTTTTTTTAAGTTTTCTCTTCAGAAAGTAGCAGTAACCAGTTTAGTCAACTTTTTTAGTATCCTACCTGAAAGAGTCGGGTAAAGATGTCAAATTCAAAAACTGAAATATAATCATTGCAGGTCAGATCAATAGTGGATTTCAGAGCCATGGCCTCCAGCCCAGAACTGATGGGATGCACTTCATGTAGAGCCTGTCGAAAGCTCTTCCAAGGGACTATTGTCCTGGGATGGGGGTGGAGAGGAGACACAAAGTGAAATAACAGAGATAATTCCAGGCATCGCCATAATCAAGCAAAGGAAAGAGAGCCACATTAAGTTCTCAATACTAATTTCAATCCTCTTAATTCAAAATACAGGTCAGCTTCTTTAATATACAAAGAAGGGGGCCGGGCACCGTGGCACATGCCTTTGGGAGGCCCAGCACTTTGGGAGGCCAGAGTGGGCAGATTGCTTGAGCCCAGCTTGGGTAATACGGTAAAACCTTGTCTCCACAAAAACAAACAAAATTAGCCGGACTAATTAATTAGTTCCAGCTACTCTGGAGGCTGAGGTGGGAAAATCTCTTGAACTTTGGAGGCGGAGGTTGCAAGTGAGGCAAGATCAGGCCACTGCACTACAGCCTGGGCAACAGAGTGAAACCATGTTGCAAAAAAAAGAAAAGAAAAAGAAAAAATAATCTACAAATAAAGACCAGGTCTTGTAATGTCATCCAGGGTGATAGTCTCAAACTTCTGGCCTCAAGCAATCCTCCAGTCTTGGCCTCCTAAAGTGCTGGGACTACAGGAGTGAGCCACTGTGCCTGGCCAAAAATAAAGGCCTTTAAAGAGAAACTTGGGCCTAGCATGGTGGCTCATGCTTGTAATCCTAGTACTTTGAGAGGCCAGGGGGGAGGATTATTTGAGGCCAGAAGCTCCAGACCAGCCTAGATAACACAGCAAAATCCTGTCTCTGCAAATTAGCTGGGACTGGCAGCACACACATGTAGTCCCAGCTACTTGGGAGAACTGCTTAAGTCCAAGAGTTCAAGGTTGCAATAAGCTATGATTGATTGTACCACTGCACACCAGACTGGGCAACAGAGTGACATCCTGTCTCAAAAAAGAAAAAAAAAAAAACAACAAAACCCAGAATATTTATATTTATACTTAAAAACAAGCTTGACTCATAAATCAACCTATATAATATATATAGACAATACAGCAAAATGGAAAAGGTAAGCCACAGCCTGGGAGAAGATATTTGTAATGTAAGTAATTAACAAAGAACTAGTAACCTATAATAAGAAAAAGATAAACCACTCAATAAGAAAATGGGCAAATCAGAAATAGGAACAGGCAAGTCAGAATAAGAATCTCGACTGGTCATGAAGGTGAGAAGAAGCTCAATCTCCCTTCTCATCAAGGAATATAAGGCAAAATATTACATTCACATCACCAGCGTTAGCTAAATTGTGGGGCTACTGTAAAATATGAACTGGTACAACCATTTTGGAAAGAAATTAGACAATACTTAGCAAAGCAAAAGAAGTAAAACCCCAAGACTTAGTAATTCCACTCCTATGTATGTAAATAAAGACAATTTCTTACATATGAAGACAACTTAGATATTGTTCACTGCTGATAGCAAATAATGTGAAATGTATATGTCCATTAAGGGCAGAATGGGGCTGGGCGTGGTGGCTCACGCCTATAATCCCAGCACTTTGGGAGGCCAAGGTGGGCGGATCACGAGGTCAGAAGATCAAGACCATCCTGGCTAACACGGTGAAACTCTCTACTAAAAATGCAAAAAATTAGCCAGGCATGGTGGCGGGCGCCTGTAGTCCCAGCTACTTGGGAGGCTGAAGCAGGAGAATGGCGTGAACCCAGGAGGCAGAGTTTGCAGTGAGTGGAGATCGCACCACTGCACTCCAGCCTGGGTGACAGAGCGAGATTCCATATCCAAAAAAAAAAGAAGTGCACAATGGATGTGGAGAGAAAGGGAAGAGCATTCAAAGAGCTTAATCTGCAAAATTATTTCTTAAAAAAAAAAAATGAACAGGGCAAAACTTAACCAAATATTTAACCAAAAACTTAACCAAATATTTAACCACAGCTAGGAAATACGTACACATACAGTTTCTCAGAGAGTTCCTGAATGTTAAACATTTCAACAGTAAAAAAGTAAAGAAAAAACTCATAAGCTTTATTCATAGTTCAAATTCATTATTGAGACTTACTTTTCCCCAAAAGCTTTTCTCCAAAATTCTGCAGCATCTGCTTTAGTAATCCGAAACGTGTCTCCTTGAAAGAGTCCACTTGGAAAGATTCCTTTTAGCTCTGCCAGCATGTGGCTGAAGATGAGGGACAGTTTGGTTAGGTTTCGCCTACAAATGATCAGAAGTGCAATAATTAAACACAAAAAATTATTTTTATTTTAAATGCACCAAATTCACCATACAAGATGTATAATTAACATGAATATCAAAATACATTTAGAAAGAACCTCTTCAAATATTATTTCTGGCCAGTATTATTCAAAGATATAAAAAAGTAGAGAAGGGAAAAGAAATGCGCTGTTGAGAATATTTTTACATATTCAGCGATATTGTTGTCTTTGTTTAAAGAAGGGTTTTAGAAACTTTTTTGTTCTAAGATCATACGAAAGATACAAATACAATGGAAGAAATACTGTTGCATTCACTGTCTCCACTTTTATCTCCTCCATTCAAACAGATATGAAGTAAACAAGAGAAAAAATTTAGTCATATATTTTAAAGCTCTAATCTTGAATTAATAAAGCTTAATAGCTAAGCATGAACATGGACAAATTCACTTTTTAAGGATGACAGGTAAGAGAATTCAACAAATAATAATCACTCTATCACAAAAGAAAAAAATGATAGGAAACCAATGTATTATTTCCTGCTTTGCAGGTGTATTTATCAAGTATATTTATCATCATATAACATACCTAAATAAAAGATAGTCTTAATAAAAAGAACTTTTTAAGTATCCAGACCTAATAAATGTCTTCTTTCACTAAATCAGACCTTAAAGAGATAAATTTTACCCAAACTCCTCTTCCTTTACCAAAAATGAGATGCTAACATCCAAACCACACAAAAATTTCTACATAGTGCATATGCTACTGTTAACAATTAGTTAATTTTGTTCTCACAACCTGTTTAATGGATATGATTATAAAGATGTCACACAGGCCAGGAGTGGTGCCTCACGCCTGTAATCCCAGCACTACAGGAGGCTGAGGCAGGCGGAATCACTTGCAGTTGAGTTCAAGACCAGCCTGGCAAACATGGTGAAGCCCTGTCTCTACTAAAAAATACAAAAATTAGCTGGGCATGGTGGTGTGTGCCTATAATCTCAGCTACTCGGGAGGGCTGAGGCAGGAGAATCCCTTGAACCCGGGAGGTAGAGGTTGCAGTGAGCTGAGATTGTGTCACTGCCCTCCAGCCTGGGCGACAGAGCGAGACTCCATCTCAAAAAAAAAAAAAAACAAGGTACACATGATATAGATACTATTACACTAAACAAGCTACTGAATACATGTGTCTATTTTTCCTTGTCCCAATAATTTGTATTTATGTATTCAAAAGTTTACTCTTGTTATACAAATGTACTATCAAAATTCAAGTCAAATCGTATCAATTACTGATTGCCTAACAATCCTCTACTAGGAATAGATTTTTCTTAATGCTACACTGGAAGGTCACCATCAGTGCTATCTTTGTCTTTCGTGGATAAAATGCAGCACCAAATTATCCAAGTCTCTATATCCATGACTTGTTCGAAAAATGCTATTGAAATCTTTTTTTGGCCAGGTGCGGTGGTTTACGCCTGTAATCCCAAAATTTTGGGAGGTCGAGGCAGGTGGATCACCTGAGGTCAGGAGTTTGAGACTAGCCTGGCCATTTCTACTAAAAATACAAAAATTAGCCAGGCATGGTGGTGGTGTATGCCTGTAATCCCAGCTACTCAAGAAGCTGAGGCAGAGGTTGCAGTGAGTTAAGATCATGCCACTGCACTCCAGCCTGGGCGACAGAGTGAGACTCAGTCTTTTTTTTTTTTTTTTTTTTTTTTAAGCATTTATCCAATCTTTAAAGTCCATTAACTGTTTTTTTCCTAGCACTTTGAGATCCTTTGATTATTGTTTAATAGAACTTCTACCATTTATCAAAGAGAAAATAGACAAGATCAAGAATATATCACAAGTGGAATATGAAACAGGTAACTTGAAAGAAACCCTGCAAAGCACAAGTTAATCCCAATGAATTTACTTTCCAGTGTTCAGCAGGACCCTAGACTGCACAATCAGCAGCTTGAGGCTCAGACGTCAACATCTACCTAACATTCTGTCAAGCAGTAATCCTTCAACTAGATTACTGAGAACCTATGTGTGTGTGAAGAACTACGCTAAACAGTATAGCGGGATAATGAATGAGATGACAGAAAAAATAAATATGTGTCACACTTTTGAGGTTATACCAGAGCTCTTTCTGAAGCAAATAGGTTTGAATTTTACTTCTTTCTGAACATCTTTCCTTAGGTTTTGCAGTATTGTCTTCTCTTGGTTCTCCTACTTCCTTCTGTTGTTTCTTGGCTTTTCTCCCCCATCATCTTAAGCGGTATTTCCCAAGAATTTGCTCTCTGCTATTTTCAGTTCTTTCTCTGTGTACTCTCTTCTCTTCCTTTGCAATCTTAGGGTTTTAAAAGCTACTTAGCAAACAATGCCCAAATCTTAGGCCTTGGTAGTTTTTCCAACTATCTACTCTACCACATTTTTCCTCCACTCGAATGCTAGCACCTCAAAGCAACATGTTCAGAATTAAACTAATCTTTCTTAAATCTGCTCTTTCTTCGTGTTCTTTACTTCTGTATTTAATGACACCACCACCTTACTTCCCACAGGTTCAAAACCTGAAGAATCTTCTTAGCTTCTTTCATTTACCTTGTTCTCCATATCTAATTAGTCAATTTGTTGCCAATCTGTGGTCATTCCTACCTTCGATTTATGTGGTACTGGCCTAATGTAAACTCCTTGGTAATAATTAAAATTAAAATTCCAGTCTTGGAATTCTGCGTCTTCAGCATCTCTTCCTAAGCACGTACAATCCTTATGACATTTAACTGCCTTTTGATGAAGGGAAAAAATAAACAATCAATTTTCACAGCCAATGGAATAAAATCCAAACTCAGCTTGGATTTTAAGGCTTTCCATTGACCTGGATCTAACCTTTCTAACTAACTTCTGAGTTTCTCACTAGTATGTTCTAGCCAAACCAAGTACTTCACCTTTTCTTACACCTGCCACTCTTCTTTGTTTCTCGGTCTCTGCCTGTTTCTCTGGTCTGAAATAAGATCCAGTTTAAATGTCATTTAAGAGCAAGCTAGACATAATAAAATACTCAACAACCCCAGCATTTTCTCTGCAGTTCTCTTACACTATCTGAACCCATTTTGCACTATAGCTATTTGTGTACACAATGGCTAAATCTATTTCTGACTTGTATTTATATCCCTCTGGGCCAGGCAAATGGCAGAAATTTCTAATGATCAATATACCTTCAGAAAACCTTTGAGTGCCCACTATGTGTTAGGCTCGGGGTGAATATGACAACGAACAAAATAAAATTCTTGCTTTTATGACATGTACATTCCCACGAGAGTGTATCAGATGGTAGGAGAAAAGTGCCGTGAGGAGGAATAACACAGAGTATGAGAAGCCATGCAGGGTTGCTGTTTAGGGAGGGTAGTCTTAGAGACCTTATCAAGTGTTGCTTTTTAAGCTGAGTCTGAAGTGAATATAGGCAGTGGGTCTTGGAATAACCGGACCATGCTGGTATCTTTGGTTCTTAAAATAATTTTCTACCGAAAATCTACCAGGTACCTAGCACTATGTTGGATCAAAGATAAAATATGCATACCAAAATAACAAGACACAGAAAGCATTTTTATTTTGTGAAGTAAGCCACACATAAAAAAAGTTATTGACCACAAAGATGTAATGGCACCAGGTACCTAAGAGCAGTTCAAAGTGCTGACTGCAACAGTTACGGGAAATCAATTTAAGACATTTTCCTACTCAAGAATGCATCCCTTCAAATAGCCTGCTCACATTTCTTAAAACCACCAGAGATGTCCACTCTAAGCATCATACTTCTTAAAAGGAAATAATGAATTTACAAAAGTCCATGGGTCAGAGCATTTTGTAATCAATATGAAGCTTATGGTTCAGTGCAGAATTTAATCAGCAGAATCTGTCTTAACATGTAAAAAGAATGAGGCATGATATAGACATTTGAGTTTACATGGTAAGCAATACTTTAAAAAATTCTGTCAGCAGTTACCTCAACTCATACAATGTGTTCTAAGGATCCTCCAAAGATCCACAAAGGAACACAACTGTTCAATTTTTTGTAAATGCCCTGAAGACAGAACTTTTCTTTTTTCAGTTCTAGTAGCAGCAAGCAGTACAGGCTTTTCTTTAACACAGTAACACAGTGCTGGGGAAGGAAGTCATTCACCTTCTAATGCCTTCAGCTCTAACCATCTACATCTACTTAACTGCAAATTCTACTCTACAGCTTCCATCTTCCTCTTCTCTTTTCCTCTCACAACTTCCTCATAATCAAATGTTGATTCTGCATGCAGCATCTTTTTTTTTTTTTTTTTAAATTCAAGATTGGTATCAGTTCTTTTCTCTCTACCTCAGGGCCTCCCTTCAATGGCAATGTACCTTCATGCCTCAGGCCCAAAGCAATGTTATGCAATTTCCTGTGTATAATTTCACGTAACAAAGAAGATTTACATATCACCAATACACAAGTATATTAAAAATTAAACGAGCAATTACAGCTATTGTTTTAGCTTCAAAAGTAAAACTATCAATACAACTTCATAGGACTCACAATCACCATCTTAAGCAAGACAAGAGTTGAAAAGTGGCCTTTATATGAATGATGAGGTAAACAGAAAAATCTCTCAAACTATTTTGTTTCTACATAGAATACTGAAAAAGTTATCTTGTAACTCTTGCTCAAAAGGTACTTTGAAGAGAAAGAGGAAATAGGAAAACAAACACAGTATGAGGAGATAAATTAGTTCCTTCTATTAAAAATGCATTTATTAACATTTAAGATAAGTAAACTGCAGCCTCGACCTTCCAGACTCAAGCAATCCTTTCGCCTCAGCCTCCTGAATAGCTGGACCCACAGGCCACTATGCCTGACTAATTTTTCTTCTTTTTTTTTTTTGAGACGAAGTCTCACTCTGTCACCCAAGCTGGTGTGCAGTGTCACTTCTTGGCTCACTGCAACCTGTGCCTTCCAGGTTCAAGCAATTCTCCTGTCTCAGCCTCCCCAGTAGC